TCAGGCATCTTTGAGTCCCCAACTCTTCAGAATATTCAGAGCCAACCACAGACTGCAGACGTGGAACTAGAACCGTCATCTCCTGCTCCAGAACCCTCAACTCCTGACAGTCCTGCTGACTTTGAGCAGAAGAGTATGACCGCTATATCTTTCAAGCTTGAAGGAATGTCTGTAACTCTCTTTACAGACAATGGCAAAGAGGTAAGATACTTTGTTATAAGTAATAGTAAAGTTTTAACAAGGATATAAATCATAAAATTACTAAAGTAGGGAAGTTCGACAAAATACTACAAATTTGGAGAACTGATGGAAATATTATATGTGCTTTGAATACATTTCTGAGCTATTGCAAAACATGTGAAAAATGAGTTACAATTCATAAGAAAGGTTTGAGTGGTGCAGACAGTTGAAATGTCAGTGTTATACTGTTAATATGGTAGTACTGAAAGAACATACTTTTACAATTACTTGTATGACATGCAGGATTGTTTTCTTTTTTTCTTATCATAGGATAAAGTTATGTGCCACAAGTGGAAAGTGTCTAAACAAGGTGCCCTTTGTGATTTGCTCACCACATGAGTGTTCAATAAATCAAGGTGTCGGTAGCACCACAGTGTGCAGTAAATACTACAGTCATTGCTTTTGGGCATGTTAAGAGAAGAAATGCACTCAAGAACTTACAACTGCCAAGATTGATGGAAAAATGGCAATGGAGATGAATAGAAGTAAATACTTCGCAGGCTTAGCCAAATGATGGGGGCAAGACAAAAACCTGATCTGAGATTCTGGTGATAGTGTGAGATGGTGAAACATGACAGCCTAGGCTTATCATGAGGGCAGATTATGATGATGATGATGATATTTCTATCATTCTATATGTCAGAAGCTGCCACATAATTTCTGACTAATCAGAAACATAAGCAAAATGGCTGCTGTAAACAAGTTGTATAATGTTAACAAGTATCTGATCTTCTCCAAAAGTTGGCCACAAAGACCAGTCTGTGCCTGCTGGACATGGAGAAGATTGATGTGTCAGGGTCCTCTCACAGTGATGGAGACGTTCAGATCAACATTTCTTTGTACACGCTGACTGTGGATGATACTAGACCTGACAGTGATTTGGCAGTTAAGAGGTAAGTGTCATTAATAGATTTATCATTAGTACAAGTCTGTACTGTAAGTCAAAGGGGGCTGCGTGGTTTTGGTTCATGGGATCCACCTCGAGTGCTGGAGGTCCCGGGTTCAAACCCCCGTGAAGACTGGGATTTTTTCACGGGGACTTCTAGTACTTTCCCCTGCTCTCTGGGTAGTAAGATCCGATGCCCAGGGTGTATTGTTGCACATGTAAAAAATATCTTGGCAGTTGGAAATTAAAAAGAGTAGCCTAACGGTGTTGCCCGCGCAAAACTTAGAGTTAAAAATCTACCCAAAGTATTTCAGGACTCTCGCTGGTGCTATGGAGCTTATGCACTGCACTGTGATTCTGCAGACTCAGACTTGAGTTACTACCCATGTGCCATGATGTTGATCTGTTGTTCAAATCTAAACTCTAAGTTGGCATCTGTGGCTTAGGTGTTGTGAATGCACTTCACAATGCCCGGTGCCAGGTTCGATTCCGGCTGCGAACAATTTGTCTTGCATTGGTTTTGACAGTGGTACCAAAAGCTGACCGCTCAGAAAGCAGTGGCAAACTACTGACAGTAAAATTTGCCTAGAAAACCCACAACAGCCCAACAAATTGCTGTGGTTGGTTCTGCAACGTCCTGTAAAGGATACACAACTAACTTTAACAGTACTCTAAAATATTTTCCTAAAGCTTCATGCCGAGAAAATAAAAATAAATTTATTTAAATACTTCAAAATGCATGCTCGACTAGGTTAATGTGGGTTTTGTGTCACCCCATTGGTGTACTAGACTCAAAGTGTGCAGACCAATAAAACTCAATATGTGAGTTGGTCAGTACCACATTGGGCTCCTTTACTTGCTAGCTCATTTGCTGACACTTATTTATAAGAGAGGATTGACATTCATTACACTGTGTTTTATCCCATAGGGCTCAGTCTCTGTCTGCAGAATGACTAGCTGGCTGCCAAGAGCATCACACAAAGCACAGACACCATAGCTCTGGTGATGATCCCCTGGGATCAACATACAAGTTTAACCAGTTAACTCAACAATGCATCTATGAAAAAACCCAGTACCTTCAAAATGGAAGGCAAACAGCTTGACTACTTCACAATGGAACAAAGATCATTTTTAACAATCTTTCTTGGTTCTGATTTAAACAAAAGACTTTCAGGCCAACAGACAAGATAGCATGACATTTTTAAATTATGAATAGTGGTTTGCATCTGTGAGGAATAGCAATGAAAATTAAAATATGTTTTATTAGTATGCAAGCAATTGTGATACTGAAATTGATTTTATCTGGGCATAATGAAGCTTAGTACATGTATAAAGGAGAATTCTGCCCTACAGTACAATCAATTTAATGTTACCAAAATCATCAGGATCTTTCTTTGTCTGACTTTCTTCTTCTCTGTCCCTCTCTCTGTCTCATCCCTCTCTCTCTTTCCCCCCCCCCCCATTTTTGTGCCCCCCCCCCCCCACCCCACCACCACCATTCTATGCCTTTCTCAGGCATAAAGACAGCAGTTTTATAGATGCTAGTCTGTCAACCAAAAGCACACCATCCAAACTTCCATTTGACCATTCCAGCCATATATGACATCATCACCCTGCTGTCTTACAGATCACCCAAATACCACATGAGAATACTGTATGAGAACTGATGTTATCAGTCACCTCATGCGTAGGGATAAACTGAGAATGGTATCAGAATGCTTATGAACTTATCCGATGTGTGGTGAGGATTATTGGTCCATTAACTGACTATATAAGAACATTGTTCATTCTTTGCTACAAATATGTCTTTCCACTGACTTTCAGAATTCTGTTTTGCAATGAAAGACGTAACAATGCTGAAACAGTGCCCTTGACGTCACTGACTTATAAAGTCAGCAGTGATGGAAATCACAAAGGTAAGGTATAGTTTAGTTGTTGGCTGAGGATCACTTTTATTGCATACATCCCATAAATCTTCACTGTGCTTCTTCTGTTTATTTCCCTGCCAGTGGTTTTCACTTGTTTTGAATTAAAAGCCTGACTAGCACTCAGGACATTTCCATGCATTCTCTGTTCCTGTCTTAATTATCATGAGCATAATTCTGATGGTACCAGTAATAGTCTGATTATATAGCCATTTCAATTGTATGCTCTGTGATTCAGCTACATTCATGACATGTGTTTGCATCTTGTTCTCAAGCCAACAATCTATTGTATATATGCTCTGTGATTCAGCTACATTCATGATATGTGTTTGCATCTTGTTCTCAAGCCAACAATCTATTGTACAATCTGTGATTGTACATTCATATGTTTGCAGCTTGTTCTCACAACAATCTATTGTATATATGCTGCTACATTCATGATATGTGTTTGCAGCTTGTTCTCAAGCCAACAATCTATTGTAAATATGCTCTATGATTCAGCTACATTCATGACATGTGTTTGCAGCTTGTTCTCAAGCCAACAATCAATTGTATATATGCTCTGTGATTCAACTACATTCATGACATGTGTTTGCAGCTTGTTCTCAAGCCATCAATCGATTGTAAATATGCTCTGTGATTCAGCTACATTCATGACATGTGTTTGCAGCTTGTTCTCAAGCCAACAATCGATTGTATATATGCTCTGTGATTCAGCTACATTCATGACATGTGTTTGCAGCTTGTTCTCAAGCCAACAATCGATTGTATATATGTTCTGTGATTCAGCTACATTCATGACATGTGTTTGCAGCTTGTTCTCAAGCCATCAATCGATAGTATATATGCTCTGTGGTTTAGCTACATTCATAACATGTGTTTGCAGCTTGTTCTCAAGCCATCAATCGATTGTAAATATGCTCTGTGATTCAACTACATTCATGACATGTGTTTGCAGCTTGTTCTCAAGCATTTCTCAAGCCAACGAAAGGCCACTGTGACTACCTCCACCTCCATTATCAAACTAGACTTTGTCATATTATGTGCCAGGCTTTGTTACACTAAGTGATGTCCATTTGATTTTGCTGTTACCTCCTTGCCCTTTTTTCTGCCTCTAAAAATTGAGCCATCTTTCCATCTTTATAGATAGCACATCAGCTAGTCAAGAATTGTCATGAATCATGTGTTCAAATTCTGATTCTGCAGCACCTGCTGGCCAGTCTCTAGAATCGCTGCCTAATATGATTAGAACCCTACTCACATCTGATTATTACTCGAACACTTTGACCCACTCCTCTCTTCACCCAGTTGGTTTTCAGTGGAGAAAGCCACAGTAACGGTGGAGTCGGCCGAGTCCACTCTGCAGTCTTGATACAGTGGTCTGTTATTTTCATAATTGCATTTTAACAATGCACTAGTCGACATTCACCAGAGTTTTGTTTCCACAGTCGACAGTTCAGAAAAAAACATTTTCATGGCTTTCAGTTAGTGGTATGAGAGCTGTACCGTGAAAAAAATTGGGATCTCACCATGTTATATTCCCATAGTTAGCAGTGTAAACATTGCAGCCAACCTCCATTGCTTTGATGGTATAATTTTGTTTTCTTATGAAAGTGTATAGGGAAGTCGTCATGGTGTAGCGGCTAGATGCTTGCCTGTGGATCGGAAGGTCACAGGTTAGGGTCCTGACAGAGCTGGACTTTTTTTCAAAAAAGACCTTGTTTGCCATGTCGACCCAGCCTAGAGTGGGTAGCAGGTGTGGTCCTGGGAAGTAAAGGCAGCTGGCATGATGCTGACTATATCACCCACCTAGTGCCGATTAGTCTATAAAATATAGGTGTAGCCCTATATACCCAATACGCCTGAAGACGTGGAAAAGGGTCCTTCACTTTTACTGTTATACTTTATAGATATCTCCTACCAACCACTTTTGTTTGTTGTTTCTGTAGCTGACCTACTAGTGGAGAAACTACGACTCAATGTTCACATCCCCTACATGCTGGTTCTGCTCAAGTTCTTCAATGGAGCAATGGAAACTCTCAATCAGTCATCTAGCACAGCATCGCCTACTGAGCCAAACGTACGACCACCAGCCAGACCATACCCGACCCCCGCTGTGTCTTCAGGTGACCCAAGTCCAGCAGTGTCAAGCCTAACTGTGTATGGAAGTTTGAAACAACCTGAGATTGTTCTGTTTGCCGACCCTACAGAAATTGACAGCAGAGTGGTGGTTTTACATGTATGTTCATTGTTTCATTCTTTTTTTTTTTTTTTTTTTTGCATTTTTTATGACATACATTTATCGTCATCATCATTATCACTGAGCATGGACAGTTGTGGTTTACCAGCTGACATGATCAATCCAAAATGCTGGCTTGTCATGATTCACTTCTACTATCCACAGTCAGCTGCAATTTTGGAGGGGGCTGTTAGTGTTGGCACATCTGGTGGCTGCCTTATGAATTTGCTTCATAAGTTTAAGCTTCAGTATTTTGTTGGAACTTATCTGTTTTTCACTAGTTTTCAAATGAGACAGTGAAGGACAATTTTTGTGATTTCTACTGGCACAAGAACAAAGTAATTATAGGGTGACACTTTTGCTGTGAACTTAGAAACCTCGACTAACAAAGATGGTTAGAGAATATCAACTCAGTTAGATTAAACACTCTTTTCTGTTCATTTTTATGACTGAGAAAAAATAATGTACAAATATTACTATGCACTCACATCAACAAGTTTATACATATAGAAAATCATCATCATTATCATCTAGCAGGTCCTTTGCACAATGTCACTGTCATCACAACCTGCCTGAAAGAAAATGGTCTCTCGCCAGATCCCCGCTTCCTGCAATTTTCTAATGTGTTATATCCTATGCCCATCTTTGTGTGGGTTGGCCCTAGCCACTCTTACCTGGCACCATGCCTTTTGCTCTATTCTCCAGTCAGCCACGGCATTGATATGGCCAAAATATTTTTTTTTCCAAGAGAAGATGCTGTTTACTAGTAAATTCTTCCTTGATATTCAGATCTTTTTTGAATGTCAGGTTTTCTTTCCTTTTTGGTCAGTGGTATTCAAAGATTATTTCTATAACACTTCAGTTCAAAAGCCCCTAGTTTTTTCTTAATGGTGAGAGATAGTCTGTGACTCACATCCATATGTTGCTAAAGTTGCATGCTTTTACAATTTTGATCTTGATTTTCTTGCTGGCGCTTAGCCATTTTTTTTATTGTTTGTGGTTTGAACAACGGACCATTATCATGGCACATGGGTAGGAACCCATACGTGCTCTGTTCTTCTTCTAACTCAAGTCTGAGTCTGGAGATGTTCAGCACAGTGCACAGGCTCCGTAGTACCGGCAAGGATCCTGACTGAAATACTTTAGGAAGATTTTTAACTCCAGACTTTGAGGCCCCCTAAATATTATTGTTTAGACTGTATAATCAATGTTAACCAATGTTTTTTTTACTGATAGTCAGACATGGTGTTTGAGTACAGCAAGGACATTACTAAGCAACACATCTGGGCTAAAATCACAGATCTGAAGTTGATCTCCCGCTCCTCTGTCCACAGTACAGTCAGTAACCTGGTATGTGATTGATCAACTGTCTTTTTAACTCTTTGAGTCCCAAGGAACGCATCATACGTTCATAGATTCCTACCTAGAAGCCCAATGAACGCAAGATGTGCCGATTTTACATCTCTTTTGACTACCCCCTAGGCCTGTGATGCTAAACCCCCTGGGACTCAAAGAGTTAAAGCTCTTTTTAAATCTTATATACACAGAAGGTAGTGTGAAAATTATAAGAAACTTACAGTAAAATACCAAAAGAGATATACAGTGTAACAGTAAAAATGAACACATGTTATGTGTGCATGTGAAAGGAAGAGAAATTAGAATATTATACTTTACTTAAACAGTTTGAGAAAAGTGGTAAATTTTTTTTTTCAGTATCCAGAAGCCATAAGTTATTAACCCTTAGGCTTTGTTTGTACTGTGGATATCATAACCCTTCAGCCTTGATATCAATCATGATAGATACCGTAAATCTAGGAGAAATATGGCTTTTCTGCCAAACCCCGAGCGTGAACCCTTACCCACCCGTACGCTAGCAAGCTGGCCGAAAAAAGTGGCTCATAAATAGCATCATGTCTTAATACAAATACTTTGGCTAAATTACATTTCACTGTGGCTTAGAAAAAACAATAAAGGAAGACATAATTCATGGGAAGAAAAAAATGTATCAGCCAGCACTAAGGTGGAGGTTAATCATGGTATAGTGCTGTAGCTAAAATGCTTGCCTGTCAGCCTGAAAGCCTTGAGTTCAAATCTGCATTGAAGCAGATTTTTATTTTTAATGCTTTTACCCTGGAAAAGATTTTTAAAATGCACCTACATAGAAAAAACAAATCTGCTAAAACATAACTACTTTATACAGGTTAAATAAATTATGTAAATACTTAATTATATACATTTGAATTTAATTCAAGAATTTTTTTTTTTTTTTTTTTTTTTTTTTACTTTCTAAAAGTAATCACTAAACATGAACAGAAGAAGGTATTAAATGGAATACATTACTCTGGAACTAAAAGACTGTACCAGGTGTCAGAATTTGGAAAAGGTCACTGGGTCACAGTATAAGCCACCCAATACATTATTTTAGCTCCAAGACCATCACTGTGACCCCTTGACCTCTTTAGAATTCTGACACCAAGACTAGGGGCAAATTATGACGTCAGATGCTTACTGGACTGGTCACAGATGGAAATGCCAGATTCATGACTTCTGTGGGCGACAGGGTTGATGACAAGGGCTCCCAGGTTGATAACGAGGGCTCAGAGGTTGATGACGAGGGCTCCCAGTTGATGACAAGGGCTCCCAGGTTGATGACGAGGGCTCAGAGGTTGATGATGAGGGCTCCGAGGTTGATGACAAGGGCTCCGAGGTTGATGACAAGGGCTCCCAGGTTGATGACGAGGGCTCCCAGGTTGATGATGAGGGTTCCCAGTTGATGACAAGTTCTCCCAGTTTGATGATCAGGGCTTCCAGGTTGATGATCAGGGCTTCCAGGTTGATGATCAGGGCTTCCAGGTTGATGATGAGGGTTCCAAGGTTGATGATGAGGGCTTCCAGGTTGATGATGAGGGCTCCCAGTTGATGACAAGTTCTCCCAGTTTGATGATGAGGGCTTCCAGGTTGATGATCAGGGCTCCCAGGTTGATGATGAGGGCTTCCAGGTTGATGATGAGGGCTTCCAGGTTGATGATGAGGGCTCCCAGTTGATGAAAAGGGCTCCCAGGTTGATGATGAGGGCTCCCAGGTTGATGATGAGGGCTTCCAGGTTGATGATCAGGGCTTCCAGGTTGATTATGAGGGTTCCCAGTTGATGACAAATTCTCCCAGTTTGATGATGAGGGCTTCCAGGTTGATGATCAGGGCTTCCAGGTTGATGATCAGGGCTTCCAGGTTGATGATCAGAGCTTCCAGGTTGATGATCAGGGCTTCCAGGTTGATGATCAGGGCTTCCAGGTTGATGATGAGGGCTTCCAGGTTGATGATCAGAGCTTCCATGTTGATTATGAGGGTTCCCAGTTGATGACAAATTCTCCCAGTTTGATGATGAGGGCTCCCAGGTTGATGATCAGGGCTTCCAGGTTGATGATCAGTGCTTCCAGTTTGATGAGGGTTCCCAGGTTATTCCAACCTCCAGTTTGATACCAGGAAAAAATACTGAGAAGTAAAGATGGCTAACCTGATATTGACTTCACCATTCAAATGCTGATTGGTCTGTTCAAATGTGAGTCTAGCACCAAATCTGTTACTACATTACTGAAGTTCTGACCAGTATTACAGTTATGTATGTATGTATGTGTGTGTGTGTGTGTGTGTGTGCATGGCGTGTTATGTATGTCTGTCTGTCTGTCTGTCTGTCTGTCTGTCTGTCTGTCTGTCTGTCTGTCTGTCTGTCTGTCTGTCTGTCTGTCTGTCTGTCTGTCTGTCTGTCTGTCTGTCTGTCTGTCTGTCTGTCTGTCTGTCTGTCTGTCTGTCTGTCTGTCTGTCTGTCTGTCTGTCTGTCTGTCTGTCTGTCTGTCTGTCTGTCTGTCTGTCTGTCTGTCTGTAGTGTAGTGTAGTGTAGTGTAGTGTAGTGTAGTGTAGTGTAGTGTAGTGTAGTGTAGTGTAGTGTAATGTAGTGTAATGTAGTGTAATGTAGTGTAATGTAGTGTAATGTAGTGTAATGTAATGTATGTAATGTATGTAATGTATGTATGTAATGTATGTATGTATATGTGTGCTTGTGCATGCGTGTGCGTCTGTCTGTCTGTGTGAGAATGCGCATTTTTGTGTGTTCATGTATGTATGGATGCATACATACTCACACAAATATGCACATTAACACACACACACACACAGTGACTTATTTTTTTGATGTCTATGTGACTAAATTTACTTTATATATAGATGATGATTTATATTGTGTGTATGCAGGTTATGAATCCTTGTTGCTTAGAGCTGACCCAGAAAGTTGATTTAATATTGGAGAAATCAGATACAACAGTAGCCATCAGCAAAGTGCAAGTGTTTCTGTCACCATCAGTTATGCAACTCTCCTGGGATGTGTTTGCAGCACTACAGATTCAAGAAACTGTTGTGAGTTTAAAAAGCTTTTTTTTTCCTTTAAATTTTGTTTAAAGATTCATATGAGGGAATGCCAATAAGTAAGTCAGAAGTGGTTGTTTAAAAAAAATAAAAAAAATAAAAACCATATCAACTTAAAAAATTTTTTTTTTTTTTTTTTACATTCATCCTTTTTTTTCCAGCATAATTTCCACCAACATTGATGCACGTGTCCTATCATTTTATCAGTCCTCATAAACCTGCTGCATAGATCTGCGTGGGCTATCCTCCGAATAACGGCCACATATTATGGCGGCCAAAAACAGGGCCTCAGTCATATGTAAATTGCAGACTTCCGGCGACTTAAATTGTGGACTTCCGGCAACTACCGCCACCGCTGAGGATATCTCCTATGCCGCTATGTACGGCACGGAGCTGGGCTAAACTAGATGGCTGGGACTCACGAGCAGCAGATCTGCATCTCCTGCAGCTTTGCTCGTGAGTCCCAGAAGAAGAATTGCCTGCAGGTGAAAATCAACTGGGTATTTGGGGATTATAAACTATGTTTTTTATCCCTCAGTCACAGATAAATTTTACAAAGATAAAGTAAAATGTATCCTTCTTTACCATCTGAACATTTTCCACTCGATTGTGCTGTCTACTGTGAGCTAGGAAAGCTATCCTTGTCATCTGAATCAAAATGTAACTAACCACAAGCTTTACGGAACTATTAAGAAACTTAAATTATTGAAGATTTCAGTCACAAAGAGAAGAGTCAACTTTACAAAGATAAAAGTCAAAAGTGGCAACTTAACAGAAACATTTTAAAAAATGAACTTTACTTCTAAATAGAATTCCTAACAATGTCTGACTGACTGACTTTCTACCCCACCAGGACATCATACAGGCGATAAACACCCAATGACACAATGTACCACCGTGTGGGTGAGGATCACCGTGGAGAGGTCCCAGAAACCGAGTTCAGCCTTTAGGCCATATTTATGGCCAGGCTATGTTGCGGCCCCTGGCAAAAGCCAGAGTAGGGCTTCAAATAACGAAAAATTTCATCCTAAAAAAGGATGATAAGTATAATAATATCCTAACAATGTTAGTTGCATATTAACAATGCAGTTTAGAGTTATAAAATTTCACTTTAATATTTCTATACCCTTTCTACTGTATGTCTTTATTTTATTCTGTAACTAAGTTACATACTGAAGTCATATATGAATTGTTGTTTACATTGCAGGAGGAGCCAGGACCAAGCAGACCTGTCGTCGAGGCAGACACCCACAGTCTCTGGGAAGTAACAAAAATAACATCTGAAAAATGGCTTAAAAATGGCTGTATGTGTATTCATTATTATCTTTCTTTTTCCATTAACTTACTGTTATTTTATTTTATTTAAAATCCAAGAAAATTGTGTGCATGAAATGGAGCAGTGACACGCGCTAGTGAGTTCCATCTGTTTAAATACAGTAAAACCTTATTGTCATAAATTCCAATAGGGCTGCTAATTGAGTTTTTAAAAAAAACAAATGGAATCCTCTCCAGTGGCTCCAGATATAAGGCTGTACAGCTCACACAGAAATTCCCATTTTTGTGAGGCTGAATTTTTTTTTTAAAAATAAATAAATAGGCAATTAGAAAATATTTATCTTCAAATGATAATTCAGTCAATAACACATGTTGCAAATTAATTAAACTGTAGTTCCATTTTTGTGTAAATCTACAATTTATACCACCAACCAGCCATGCCAGACTCACAAAAAGGGGAATTCCCATTTGAGCTGTTGGGCCTTATATCTGGAGTTGGCTGTGCCAGTGACTGATAGCGATAATACCCCCCTGCTGGGACCAAAATGTTGCTGTTGTTAACCAAGAGTTCTTCTTAAGGGAGTTTGTTTAATAATAAGATGTTACTGATCAGTTACTATCTTGTCTCTTGTAAAGAAAAAAAGCCCTTGTTTAGATTAGGTAACTGTTCTAATTGCTGCGTGGCAAAAATTTAAGAACACTCTTCTGAACTGCCTAACAACACTCTGTGGTATTAGATACACAGGAGGAACGTTTAGGAAAAAAACAGCATGGTGGAATGATAACGTAAAACAAGCAGTGAAATGTAAAAAGGAGCAATACAAGAAATGGCTAAGATCCCGCTCAGATGCCGATTATATCAAGTACAGAATTGCCAGGCAACAATCTGCAAGAGAAATTAAACAATCCAAGGAAACATCCTGGATCATGTATGGGGAAAATCTTACCAAAATCTGTGCTAAATCTAGTAGACAGTTTTACAAAACCATTGCAAAAATGAGAACTAGAGATGAACCATTCCAGCCATCTGAATATGTCAATGATAGTCAAGGCAAACCCATACATGAGGAGGGCAAGATCAGAGAAAGGTGGAAAGAATATTTTCAGACTCTTCTGAATGTAACAGGAAATGAGGAAACAGTACCATTCACACCCAGATGTACAAACGAGGAACAGCCTACAATAATCGAACAAGAAGTCAGAGAAGCAATCAGATGCAGTCCCAAAAATAAGGCATCAGGTGTTGATGGAATATCAGCCGAGGCAATACAGGCTTGTGGAGAAATTGGAGTCACCTGGCTACTCCCCATATTTAGGAAAGCCTGGAATGAAAGAACTGTACCAATAGACTGGCAAAGAGCCCTTATAGTCCCAATTTGGAAAAGAAAAGGCAATAAGCAAGATTGTAACAATTACAGAGGCATCTCCCTTCTAAGCCACGTAGGAAAAATGTTTGCCAAAATTATGGAACAACGAATTAGATCCGTTGTAGAACCGATCCTGAGCCCATCACAGGTCGGATTTAGGAAAGAAGAGGGTTTACTTACGCTATTTTTGCTTTAAGACAAGTTAGGGAAAAGACAATAGAACACAGACATCAAATGAACATCGCTTTCATAGATCAAGAAAAAGCTTTCGATAGAGTAAACAGAAATTTATTATGGAAAGTTCTTGAAAACTACAGTATAAATGGAACAATTTTAGATTGTGTTAGGGCTATTTATAGACAAAGTGAAAGCGCCATTAGAACATGAGCTGGCATCACAGACTGGTTCCCAGTAACATCAGGAGTAAGACAAGGTTGTGTATTATCACCTTTACTTTTCATAATATTTATTGACAATATTAATAAAATAGACATAACACCAACAGATGTCGATAAACAGGAGGACTTCAATGAGCTGCTCTTTGCCGACGATCAATGCATATTTCACAGTGATAGTAAACAGCTGCAAGACCACATAAACCTGCTACACGACAGTTGCCTCAAGCATCATATGAAGATCAATACTGAAAAGACAGAAGTCATGAGCATAAGTAGAGAGCAACAGACCATCGACATAAAGATTCTAGATCACAGCCCTAAAACGAGTGCAAGAATTTAAATACTTGGGAAGTATCTTTACATTCAATGGTAAAATAGACAGAGAGATTGAAGCAAGAATCCAACAAGCCAACAATGTCGCATACCAGCTTGCTCCAATTTTAAAACACCATGCTGTCCCAGCTGAGATAAAAAGACAAATTATAAATACAATCTTTATACCGACATTAGGTTATCAATGTCAGACTTGGACATTAACAAAAGAACACGAGAGAAGACTAACCACCTGTGAAATGAGATGTTTGAGAATGGCTGCGAATAAAACCAGAAGAGATCGAGTGAGAAACGATGTGATTACAAGAACTATTGGAACCATATCCATCGTTAAATTTATTGAGAAGCAAAGAATGAAATGGTTTGGTCACCTAATGAGAATGGAACCAACGATGCCAGCATCAAGAGCATACAACATGAAAATCGAAACACCAAGAGGCAGGAGAAGACCAAGAAGAAGATGGATTGAAGGAGTCACAGACAACCTGAGACTTCATAACATCACGGCATATGAAGCGACTGAGCGCGCCCTGGCTCGGTTGCCGATCATCTGATAGACTGCGACGCCTAGCGGCACAAGCAGATTTTGACAAAAGAAGAACTGTTCTAATTGAAACCCTTTAGTTTGTGTTGTACCGCTCATCTCTCTGAACTAATTAAACAAAGGAAGTTAATCCAGATGGAAACTGAAATGCTCTGAATTGTAATCCCATTTTCATAATTGTATTTATTATTTTAAAACTGTGTATCTGTATCTGCATATAATATGCAGATGTCAAACGGCCTTTCTTTAAATCAGTGTAAAGATAATGTAGCTTATAGTGCAACTACATGAGCAAAATGCTGGTGTCATTCTTATAAATCACAAATACCTTTATTTTATTATTGCCAATATTTATGTAGCTAAAGTAGCTGCCCCAGTTGTAACTTCTTTAGAGTTTAAACTAGGTATCTGGTGCTGACACTGTTAATCTGCTACCCAAGATACTATTTTTTGAAGTCTATGAATGATCAGACCTCCAGGGAGCAACCTAGAGGGAAAAGATACTAAAGGGAGCTTTCTTCTCACCCAGGACCTACCAGTGTAATAAATTTTTAACTCCAAATTTTGCCTGTTCAGCGCCATTAGGCTACTCTTTTCAATTTCCATCTGCCAAGTGATTTTTTTACGTGGTCAGCAATACACACGGGTGTCCGATCTCACTACCAAGAGACCAGGGGAATTACTGAAAGTCCTAGTCCACATGAAAAAATCCCAGCGCTTACCGGGGATTGAACCCGGAACCTCTAGCACTTGAGGCAGACACCATGCCTTGAGACCACACAGCCTCTTAGGATAGACAGTGTTGAAGTAACAATTAGATGGGAAAGAAATAGTTCACGTGTACATGTGTTTTAAATAATAAGTGTTGCAAATTTAACCCACAGCTGAAGTCAATGTTCTGCCCAACCTGCAACCAGTGGCTTCCCCTAAGGAGTCATTTCAGCTTGACATCAAAGACATTAATGTCTTCTTTGAAATTGAAACACTTGATCTGCATGTCCCAATTTTGTGCTTGCATACATCGGTTGAAGCCAAATTTGAGGAGTGGTCCAGAAAGGTATAAGTACTACATGGGTATAGACCAAGTGATAGGACTCTATCATTGCACATCATTGTTTCTATATCCTGTGTACTTTAATTAAATGATTTCACTTTGACTTTTGTAAGTACTCTTTTTTTCTTTCTATCTTCCTTCCCCTTTGTTCTGTCTCTTACACACACTCTCTCACACTCCTTCTCTTTTAAACACTATTTTCACACTCCCTCACACACATAGCTGGCAACTCCTAATAGTCTTTGTTTCAATGTTTCATGGCAATATTTTTGTCTACTAATATCAACTGTTTTAAGACAGATAGATGGTACAATATTGGGTACATCTTGAGAAGAAACATGCAGAGAATCACTAGACAGGCATTAAATGGGAAGTAAAGGAAATAAGGAGTTGAGGACACCAAAAAATAAAAAGTAAAATTAACAGTGAAAAGAGAGGCCAAAGGTGCTGGATTGGATTCCATCCATTATATTGCATTGATTGCACAGGAAACTGTTTACTAGCCATCATTTATATTTGTCTATCACGGCCACCAGTTTTCTGAAACATTATTCTCTTTGTCTTGGTTGTAGTATTTTTTATCACCTCTGTCATAATCTTGTTTGATGTCATTTTTGTTTTCCCTCTGAAAATACGGAATGATTAAACTTAACAGTATCTAAAAATTAATAGGAAAAAATCTTTGCCCTAATATAAAAACACTCTTTACATCTTATAGTTAAGTGCATTGTGTTAACTTTTTAGGTAGCAAGCAGGTGTTGTGTTAACTCATTTTGTTCCAAGATTTTTTTTGTTAAAACAATCAAGATTTAGGTTTGGGGAGTTAAAGTAATAAATAGCATTGTGAGACAGGGGGAGTTTTATCTTATTCTTCGTGTTCACCAGCTGTAAACTCCAGAGGAAAATTCTGGTTCTTCGTCCATCTCTGAATTTGGTCTTGTTCCAGAATTTGATTCTTGTTTACACATCCACTTTTCAAATCTGTCTTGTTTGTGTGCAGATTGTTGGTTCCTCACCTCTCAGGCAGATATAATCTGACTTTGAAAGAAACTCCTCTAATTAGTCACCATTACAGATTGCTTTTTAGGGAGGCAGTGGGTTTACCCACCCCCGCCCCCCCTTCCCCCGAATGAGACTCTGGAACCCATATTGGAACCCATATGGAGAGAGGAGTCAGTCAAGACCTGGGATAGAGTTGGTGATTTTATCAACTGGGTGGTTTACAGGAGTTTAGAAAAGTATACTGTGTAGTTAAAACCAATAAATGCATAGTTAGTTATTTTATACTCAAAGAGTTAGTTGATATTACTTTACTCTTTCACTGTTTTCCTATCCTCTGTTTTAGATGCATATTGAAGCTGAGATGCATCTGAAGATGATGTTCTACAATGAAAAGTTGTCAGTGTGGGAGCCTTTAATTGAACCTGTTATGGACAGAGAAGGAGTTTACAGACCATGGGAGGTGCTTGTTAAGGTAAGAAAGAGTAAAATGCACACACTGTGTTTGATCAATGGATTGATCGGTTTGTCCTCTCCAGGATGCTACCTGAATGTTGACCATACCATCTCCAGTATCAGTTTTTCTTCTGGCCAAAAACATTGTGCCTTAATATGTTGTATTTGGGACAGTCTTAGAGGACGTTATCTGTTGTCAAAGGTGCCAATCCACATGTGGACATGGCTGATTCAAAAATTTTTAATTTTTTGTGTGCATATTGATAATAAATCATTGATTAATATATTACTATATGTGTACCTCGTGAGTGCTGAAGGTGGTAAAGTGCATTTCTGTTGTTTATAAAGTGAATATGTTTCACAATCCTTAGTGTACCAGGGTTTGAATTCTTGCAGTGGACAGGTAAGAATTTTTTTTTTAATGTTGTGGATTTTTGGCATTGGTGAGTGAATCACACTGTGGAAGAGATTGAAACTTCACAATGAAATATTTTTAAAGACATCTTCTTCCTAGCATTAATTGCTTGTAAATTCCAGCTGAAAGTTATGGTTGTTTGTCCCCTCCTGGGTCTTTTTCCCCCCAGAACTTGAGTTTTGCATGCACATCCATTTTACAGATCTGGTTCATTTGTATGCAGACTGTTGGTTCCTCACCTCCTAGGCAGATGCACTCTGACTTTGAATGAAACACTCCTATTAGTCATCTTCTGTGGGGATGTGCTTATTAGGGGGAACAAAGGGTCTATTCTCCACCCTCCCCCACCCAAACAGTGGGACCCCAGAACCCGCACAGTGAATTCATTAAGACTACAGTTAATGCAGTATTCCCTGAAGCCAGTCTTTGTTACAGAAATAAGACATTTTTTTTTTAAACAGGTGGTAAAGACAAAAAGCTTCCCCATGATTTGTATGTATGATGAGAAAGACCTAACCATTTCTGAGGAGCTTCAAACAGAAGTCCAGCAAATGATGCATCGAGCCAGGGTCAAATCAAGCAGTTCAGAAACTGATGATACAGATGGTGATGCTGATATGACTGTCATACGACATAAGTCACTGCGCCGACTGCGGTGTGCCAGTGATCGCAGCTTTGGTAAGTCGAGGTGTAGGGAGAGTCTGCTGTTGTTCTTTTCCATTATATTTTATAATCATTTCATTATGCTTGAGAGCTTGTGATATACAGTCACTGTTAAGCATAGAGGGATTTCATGAATTATTCCTAAACTGACATTATTCCACTTGGAAAATTCCCACATTTACCGTGCAATTTTCTTTATGAGCCAGCAAAGAATTTCCATGTTGATGATGCCAGTGGCACTGATTTAAAAGTCTGCAAATGTTCCATTGCCTTATGTTCTGTTATCTACTCCAATATATATATCAGTGTGCTTGTGGTATGCAGTTGCCGTTAGAGATAGAGGGATTTCATAAATTATTCCTGAACTGAGATTATCCCCACATTTCACATGTCAAGTTGTCTAGTGTAGATTTTAGCTGGTGTCATGCTGGCAGCAGTCTGATTTAAACAAATTGATAGCTTTTTTTGACTGGTCTTACCTGCAGGGGGTTATGGGTGTGCCACTCTGTTGTTTGCTATCTGTGTTGTCTTGCATTTGCGTTTTTAATCCAAGAAAGAGAATGCCTGTGACTTAGGTTTCATCACTCTCTAAAATGGTTGTGTGTTAGACCCAGTTTGTCACAGTTTTTGTAGTATTAAAGGCGCTGGAATGCTGGAATATAGAAGACCTGATATCAAAGGCATTGAGGAACACCCTTATCACCTTGTGTGAAGGTCGGGTGTCTCACGGTCAACCAGTCAGAAGTGAGCTAGGCTGAAGGTTGACCAATCAGAAGTGAGGTAGTATGTAGCAGTGTTTGAATGGGGGGGAGGGGGTGTCTTTGCTTTTACAGCAGTCTGAACTGGTTTCGAGACTCCTAGCTCTTTCACTATTTCCATATCTCATTTTGCAGAATCTAGCTCCTCCCCTTTTCTATATCTAACTTTCCTTCAGGAGAGGATTTAAGCCCCACCCCTGAGGTAACTTTTGGCTACACTTATCTCTCTGTAATTGTCAATCAATTACTGACTGCCTACCTACTGATTAGACTTTCTAAAGTGGGGCCATCTGGATTTTATATGTGTCAGTAATAGGTGTGAAAAACTAGCCAAGTGGAGCCATCGGGTCTGGAGTTTCTATCTTGCCAAGATTAGTTCACCTGAGTTGGCAGGTTCAGAAGAGAGCCAGTCTTGCCCGATCATTTAATTTTTCTGACACCTTATGTTTTTCCTGGTGGCCTGGCATGTAATCTTACGTTATATAAGACAAGGACTACTTTCTTTCTCTGTACTGAGAACTGGAAACAGTTTTTAATTCCACCTAATTTTAGTATTTGGGCCTAGTGCATAGTAAATATAATTATTAGTCATTTATTGGAGAAAGAAAATTATTAAACAGACTAAATTCTGAAATCACTGTGTGGTTTCGTCACACTCATATTGTCTCTTGTTAACTGTAATCTCACCATGAAAGTTTTAAAACTAACCACATTATCGCTTTGTTTACATAGAAGGTGATTACCACTGCTTCTGCCAGTTTTGGTAAACATCTATTTAGTATTTAAAAATACAAACATAAGAAACTCACTAATTTCATGGCATGTGGGCCATGTTCTTGTGTCTTAAAAACAAACATGATATCTTTCTAACTGTCTCATTGTATTTATTATTGATACATTTTACCACTCTGCTTCAATGAGGTAATGTTTATTAATTTAATTAATTTCCTTTTTTTTTTTTTAAATATGTATATTTGCTGCTGTAGTCAGCATGCAGAAAATGAAATACATACATTTTTCCCTCTCTTTTTACACATGATTAAACAAATTCAGTGTCCTAAACCTGTCCTGTGGTAGAGACTCTCACTTTGCATTGTATTTTTTTTAGTCATACATGTTGCCATGTATATGAACTTTGCACTAACATTAATATGCAGACTCCAGCCATCATAGCAGTGTCCAAGGGGAGTCAGACTCAGAGCCAGAAGGTTTCATCTCTCACATGACCAGCAAACTGGGCAGTATTTTCTCTAGTGACAGTAGCGATGCTGATGTCAGTGAAACTGATGACAATGATGACGGAATTGACCTGTCGCTTGACAAACCTGTTTTTCTTACATCAAGAGGCCCAGTTCATATGACTGCTGGTTTGAGAACTTTCTTTTTCTCACTTTGTTGTTTTGTTTTGTACAGGTGTGGATTTTACGTTGATTTGTATTTTTAGTTTAGTCATTATGCTTTAGCTATTTTTTTTTTCATTTTTGTTTTTGTTTGAAGTTATATTTTTTGGTGCTATTGTGTCTCAGTGTTTGCTTTGTTAATAGGCACATTCCTTAACTCTTTCAGGACGATATTTTTTTTTTCTTTTAGGGTTTGAACAGGATTAGTTTTAATATGAATTTGTTTACTGCAACATGACAAAGCTAAAGCCTTCCTGAGGAAAAGTGTTGGCTATATAGTTACATATAATCTATCTAATTAAATAAAATGAAAATTACCTTGGCTCACAGGTCAACCAAGCTTTGAGTGAGTACCAGGTATAGTCCTGGGAAGTAAAGCCGAATGGCGGGATGTTGACCACATCACCCGCCGAGTTCTGATTGGTCTATAAAATATAAGTCTAGCCCTATATGCCCAATACACCTGAAGGCATGAAAAAGGGACCTTTACTTTTTTTAGAGAGAGAAATGAATACAGAAAACATCTAAACTATGTAAGGATCAGTATTACAGCAACACAATAGATAAATGACACAACATTCAAGGGTGTTAGAAAGTTTTTCACACATTAAACATTTGGGCTTACCTTACTTTTTGTATTTGATCAGCAACACTACATTAGTAAGAATTCAATTTTCTATTCAATTGTGCAGCAGATAGTCTTTATTTGAGACAATAAATGTGTGGATTTTTTGACCATTTTTATGTTTGTCAATTTCACAACAACCAAATCTAGACACAACAGATCGAAATGAGGATTATCCAGTTGAAATATTTTGTTTAACATCATCCTTACCCATATTACTGGCAATAGGTTTTTCACTTGCATTAATAATCATAATGTCAAGACTAATGTCAGATGTGTCAAATGGATGTGCATGCAACACTCAGATTGTGGAACAGGAATAAAGTTCAGAAGTGGACAAATACACAGAACTTTCCGCTGGAGTTTACAGCAGGTGAACGTGAAGAAGAAGAAGATTATATTATTCTTATACATGTGCTGTAATTTAAATTTTTTAAAGTCATTAAATTCTGTGTCCATATTCAATGTTTACTCTATAATTGTTATAAATTTATCACATATTTCTCCATAGTTAAATGCTACTTTGAAGTAATAAAACAGATGAGTGGGTTAGGTTCAGGTTAATCTCCCCAAATAGAGTAGATCACTTTTCATTCACAACTTTATTGGGCTGGTTGACATTCCTGAAGGTTATGGGTGTATCCCACTCTGTTGTTTGCTTTCTGTCTTGTCTTGCATTTACATTTCTATTCTGAAAAAGAGATACCTGTGACAAAGGTTACAGCACTTTCTAGGAGGGCTGTGTTAGGACGAGTTTCTCCATGTTTTTGGAGTGTTAAAAGTGCTGGCGTGCTGAAACATACAACACACAATATCAAGAGCATTGCGGAATACCCCCATAACCTTGTGCCAAGGTGACAGGTTCAGGAACTACCAATCAGAAGTGAGCTAGTGCCTTTATAGGCGGGACATGAGGAGATCATCATTACTTTTACCGATAAGTGTGTAACCAGCTGATCAGTGGATCTATATGTGCTCCTATTATTAGATAATTTCAGAAAGACAGAGAACACTTCCACATGTTTTGAATGTAATCTATGTTTGATGACATATTCAGTCATTTCCATTATAGATGTTTCTTTGTGCAGTGATGGTAAACTGTCTAGTACCTTTTCTTTATATCTTCTCCTGTCTCTTTTCCCTTCCAACTTTCCTGCTGTCATATTTATTTCATCATGTCTGATAATTATTATAGAATTTATAAATAACATCATCTCATTTACTCAATACTTCAACAGCTTAAACATCCACTCTGTCTCTGCATCTTTTTCACCATTTATCTCCTACTCTGTCTCTCTTATTGTCTTTCTTTCTTTTTCACTCTCACACTCTCTCCATCCCTGCCTACCCCCCGTTTCTCTTTCAGTTCCATTTTTAATTTGCATCAGTTTGCACAACTAAATAGGTATCTGAAAATATTTGATGATACTTGAAGTAACTTATGACCGGACTGAAAAAGTTAAGGACTCAAAATGGGTGTATGTATATTGCTGTTGCTCAGTTCTTTTCTGCAGTTGTTCATACATACATTATTATTTGGTTAACGTGCATCCCTTTATCTTCATCATCATCCTGTAACATTACGTGTTGTTGGGTCACCAGTTTCTGTTGAATGTATGATCAGCTGTCTCTATCTTTAGCGGTCAGTTGCGATGGACTTCATGGTTGCAGGCCTGAGGCCTGACTAGTCAGTCAGGTTCTGTAACCAGGTCTTTCTCGGTCTGCCTCTTTTCCTCTACTGAGCCCTGCAGTATTGTTTTTGAGATGCCGTTAGATCTTATTACATGTCCATACCATTGCATTTTTCGCCTTTTCACTGTAGTTGTGCTGTATAATTTTATGGTGAACCTCTTCATTTGTAATGTGGTCTCTGTATGATATGCAAAGAATTTTCCCCTTACATATTAACAAACATTTAGTTGTACATGAAAAGTTACATTCGGCTGAAACAGTGCGTATTAGTCAACTGAGGTTTTATTGAGAATATATACAAATAAGTTGAAACCAGTTGCCTGTTGTCACTTTTGTAGCAGATGTTGTTTTTAATAGATTCTATGTTTAATTTATCAGTTTGATGTTGTTTGCAACTGAATTTGTAGTGCACATTATTTTCCTATAAGTTTATTTCATTTATAAACAGTTCAGTTTTTAAAATTTATGATTTGTTTCCATGTTGACTACATTGTGTACATGCGCGTGCATGCGTGCATGCGTGCATGCGTGTGTGTGTGTGCGTGCTTGCGTGCGTGCATGCATGCGTGCATGCGTGCATGCATGCGTGCATGCGTGTGTGCGCGCACGCATCCCATTGGTTACTGGGTCCCATTGATTCCTGGGTCCCATTGGTTCCTGGGTCCCATTGGTTCCTGGGTCCCATTGTTTCCTGGGTCCCATTGTTTCCTGGGTCCCATTGTTTCCTGGGTCCCATTGATTCCTGGGTCCCATTGGTTCCTGGGTCCCATTGTTTCCTGGGTCCCATTGGTTCCTGGGTCCCATTGGTTCCTGGGGCCCCACTACCCTCTAAGAAGCTTGTCTTAGGAGATTATAATTAGGAGTGTTTACTTCAAGCTAGATTACATCTCCCTGAGAGGCGAGCAACCAACAATCTGCATACAAATGAGCCAGATCTGTAAAATGGATGTGCATGCAAAACTCTGGTTTCTGGAATAGGACCAAAGTCCAGAATTGGACGAACAACCAGAACTTGTGTGAGAGTTTGCAGCTACTAAACTCTAAGAAGAAGAAGATTTAATTTTCTGTAGGCAATTAAAAAAACTTACAAAAGGAGACTGTTTAGAATCCAACCAAACAAATAAAGTATTTCACAATAAATTCTTCTCAATAACTCATAACTTTTGGGGTTATGATAGCACAGTGAGACTAGTAACAACGAGTTGGAAAATACTCTTAATATTCAGAAAGATACACTGTGGGACAGGAGCACACAGATACATTGGGATGTGCAGGGTTGTTAGGCTTGCCAAGTTGACTGTCAAAAACACATAAGTTGCTGGCATACTCTGGAATAAATGACTATAACGTGTCCTTGAATTTCTTGTTGTTGGAGACTGTAGAGTAGTCACTTCTGGCTGAATAGAAAACGGGGTTTTCGAGTTGGATGCTACCTTTCTCAATATAAATATCCTTCCTCCAAACCACCACAACTGATTCTATAACAATATCATCCCTTTTTCTGAGGGAGGAGAGTGCCTCCCATTCACCTGCGGAGAGGTTGAATTTTTTTAAAGACCTGTGTGTTCCAACTGTTAAAGAGCATGGAACATGTGGCTGATATAAATATTGTGCTTTTACACCACTCCTTCGGCTAAGACACCAGTCATCAATTCTGGTCATTACTGGAGTTGCCTAGCTTGCTGTGCTCTTCTGATGTCTTTGTACCTCACCCAGCTGTGGTTCTAATACATTCTTTCCTCATTGTTTCTTCTGTTAATTTTACCCAATAGTGTTATTATTTGGACCCTTTCCCACCCAAACACTTATTACTTTGAGCATATTAGGAGAATGCTAGATGACAGAGAGATAAAACATGTATACACAACGGAGCTAAATGGTTATAGACCATGAGGCAGATCAAGATGATGATGGAGAGATAATATCCAGATAGATCTACAAATACTTGGTGTCATCAATTGGAAAGTGAAGGCCAGCCAGAGGGATGAATGGAGGTGGGTTATATCTACAGGAATGAACATCAAGGACTTTGAATGCTGAAGAAAAAATAACAACAAGAACTACTTATGAAAAGAAGAGCTAATGAAATACGGTGTAGGACTGAAAAAGGCTGTCACTTCCAAAAATCTTAGTGATCTATAGATGGGCAAAAGGACATGTTCATCACCTTGTGTTTACCCTGGTGAAACAGATAGTTTTTGAATGTAGTAGATTTTGTGTATCATTTCAAAGGATTGATTTATTTGCTTCATTTTAATCAATTGTTACTGTAGTTTGCACCTGACAAGATACAGTGAAAAGATGCCAGGCGATAAATTGTGCGATCTATTTTTTGTGACTTCTTTGTTTAAATTCACAACAAGGAAACATTGCCATTTAATAATGATTAAACAATTACATCTTTATGTTTTATGAATACATTTATTTTGACTTCTGTCCTTTATCATCCAGTGGACCATATGCTCTCAACCATCTCATGCCTAACCTTTTTATGCTTGTTCCTGGTGGCTGGCTTTTGTGCTGAAGTGTTATTGCAAGATGAGGTACTCAACCAAACCTAAGCCTTACCTCCACCCCCACCCATTTTCTCTTACGAAATGCTTTGTAGGCAATATTGTTACTATTCTTTGCTTCCTAAAAGGTCTCTTGCGGCAGATAGCAAATACATCTATTACCTTTTCAGCACACCTTTTTCTTGACTGACAATCTATGCGACTAATGATATATACTACTTACAACCATCCACACTTACGACCACAAAAAATTTTAAACATTAACAGTTAGTAAAGAAAGAAAGATAACTATTGGTGAGTTCAAAATGTTCCCAAAAGTGAAGCAAAAGTACATATTATGCATTTTTCACATTATGTACAATAATTACGCATACATAGATTGAATTTTTGTGTGTTATCAAAGTTTTTATAACTGTTGATAAATATAAATTCAGCTTATGAACTCTTTGACTTATGACCTATAAGTCAGAACAGAACTTGTTTGTAAGTCGAGGAAACCCTATAATTCATTTATTCATTCATACACGGAACAACTCAATAACTAGGGCCCAAACACAATATGATTGGTCGTTCATTCATCCTTTCTGACCTTTCACATGTCCAACACTCTATCACAGGGGTGTCAGTTTTTTTTTTTTTTTGGTGACTGGTGACAAGGAGGGTACCATTGCTTTTCTGAAGCAACACAGTATTTTGGGTTTTACCTCAAAATGTTAAAAAGTCTGAAATCACAGGGTGTAGCATGCATTATCTTGTGGGACTTAGACTGAGTTTGTCCAGTAGTGGGGGTTGGATTTAGGGCCAACTGCAGATGTTTATGGGTCATTAAAAGTGGCGATAACATCATGTAGTATGGAACACAGGATATCGCCCGTGATAGTGTAAGAGACTATGCAACCTGAGACCTCTGTAAGAGAAAGTTGCACATGTGAAAGGTTAAGATACATCAATGGATGGCCAATCACAGTGTCCCTGGGCCCAGAAACCTTTTACATTTATCAAAAAAGGGAACAGCAGTAGTCTTATTTATCTTATCTTAATGCAAATGTATAAACTGTCTCGATATCTTTGTGTGTCTACTGACAGGGAAACTAACCCCACATTATTCAGTTAGTAGCTGAGTGTGCTACTCCCCTATATTGGCAAGGCATGATCAGTTTGCATGTGTAAGTGTTAGCAGGTAATGATTAAATATTATCCTCTACATATACCTCCTCGTTGCTTAACTGTTGGAGAGTATACGTGCACAGTTAGCAGTTGTACTAGTAACTGGTAGCGTTCACACATAACAGTATCTGCATGAGTACCATTTATTTTATTTATTATCACTGAACAGACGAGAATTGTGCCTATATATATTCAATCAAATTATTGCAGATATGAAGCAATTATCTGGTTTTATTCCTATCTCTAGGTTCAGCCACAGGATTTGATGAGGTTGATGGAGGTGCTGGAGATGGAGAGGAGCAGGAAGGGGAAGAAAAGTGTTTATATATCATGGTGGACTCTGTGGACAGGCTGCAGCTGAATGTAACTCCACAGGCAATAGCTGTCCTGAAGGATATCGCTGAAGTAGGTCATTGTTTATGTTGTTGCAGTATTGGTTCCACTAGTCATATCTAGATTTTAATTTTAATTCTCACGAGCCAGTACAGGATGACATTTTTCAGGGCTAGGATAAATTCAGATCAGCTATTAAAAAGCCAGTGTTCTGTAAAGAATGATGATAATGATAGTGCAAGCCAAAGAAAGATATAAAACCGAACGAAAAGTAAATCAGCTAGCTTCACAATATAACATTGCACAAACAATACGTCAATGTTGCAGCTATAGAGCCTTTATCCGCACATTACATAAATCAAACAACTCCACACAAATACACAAAATCACTTAACTGGGTATCCAGAAGTAGCCACGTTGATGTCTTGCCAGTGGAATGAGTAGATATGAGTTCCAAGAATAAATAGCTGTGGAATTTCAAGGCCGTAACTCGAGAATTTTAGATGAAACTGTGTTGACAGTTTAGTCATCTGGGCATTAATGTACCAAAAGTGAAAATATTGAAAATAGTGAAAGTAGTCCTTAGCTCTTACAATACTTTTCATTAAAAGAGGTTAAATAGTCCCCTGCCCAACAACACTTGCCATTAGAAGAGGTTAAATAGTTCCCTGCCCAACAACACTTGCCATTAGAAGAGGTTAAATAGTTTCCTGTTCCAACAACACTTGCCATTAGAAGAGGTTAAATAGTTTCCTGTTCCAACGACACTTGCCATTAGAAGAGGTAAAAAAGTTTCCTGTTCCAACAACACTTGCCATTAGAAGAGGTTAAAAAGTTCCCTGTTCCAACAAAACTTGCCATTAGAAGAGGTTAAATAGTTTCCTGTTCCAACTACACTTGCCATTAGAGAGTTAAATAGGTTAAATTAGAAGAGGTTAAATAGTTTCCTGTTCCAACAACACTTGCCATTAGAAGAGGTTAAATAGTTTCCTGTTCCAACAACACTTGCCATTAGAAGAGGTTAAATAGTTTCCTGTTCCAACAACACTTGCCATTAGAAGAGGTTAAATAGTTTCCTGTTCCAACAACACTTGCCATTAGAAGAGGTTAAATAGTTTCCTGTTCCAACAACACTTGCCATTAGAAGAGGTTAAATAGTTTCCTGTTCCAACAACACTTGCCATTAGAAGAGGTTAAATAGTTTCCTGTTCCAACAACACTTGCCATTAGAAGAGGTTAAAAAATTCCCTGTTCCTACAAAACTTGCTATTAGAAGAGGCCTAATAGTCCTCTATCCTAACAATACTTGTTAGTGTAAGAAATTTAATTGTCCCTCTATTCCAACAATACTTGCCAGTATAAGAGATTAAATTGTCCCCTATTCCAACAATACTTGCAAGTATAAGAAATTAAATTGTTCCCTGTTGCCACAACACTTAAATCCATGGGGACTGAGCTATGTTGATCCCAGAGTCCTGGATAACCAAGAAAACAGCAAAAGTGGCTGGTAGAATAAAATTAAAGTAGCTGTACTTGTATCAACAGGAGTAAGAAAAGAGTAAATATATATATATATATATATAGATTAATTCAAAACGATAATATCGAGATACACAGATAACCCTTCTGACTTCTCTCCTTGTATTAATTTTTAAAGAATGCCCCCATCAAGTGATTTATATCTAAATGAGTTGAGGTAAACTAGTATGAACAAAGACACTTGAAACTAACTACACAGTTTTTAAACTTGTCATCAAGTTTAATAGTTTAGTCTATAGCAAAAAAATTGTATGGTATTGCTTACAATGTTGCAATTAAGAATCAGATGCTATGATGACAATGCATCAGATGCTTTGATGACAATGCATCAGTCAATGAAATAAATAGGTGTATGAGAATGATGGTGTTCTGATAAAATTAATTCTTATGAATAAAAGTTACATATTACTTATAAAATGAACCTTAGACAGATCTTAGTTTCAGACTCTGCCTCTTTTCCTAGCTTGTCATTCTCCTAATTCAATTAGCTCATTGAACTCAGACTGTCTGCAAAGAACAGATGACGACTGGTCCCTGCCCCTTATGGGAGCTGTGATAAAGAAACAAATACCTGTGTGTAAGCTCAGGTTTCTTACACATAGCAGCAAGCATATTCATATAGAAATAATACATCTCTTATAATTTGTATTTTATAACTGGGAATATCAAATTATAATAACTTTAAAAGTAATTAATTGATGGTATCACAGTAGAACCTCGCTTAATGAGCACCTCGCATAACGAGTAATTCGCATACCGAGCAAAACAAATTGTAAAAAAATGACTTGTTTAACGAGCAACGTTTCGCATAACGAGTGGCGAGGAGAGGGGAAGTCCCGAATTGTGGACATGTTACATCAGTCTGTGTTTAGCACTCATTCCAGTAGCATTGTAGTGTCGCTTGTGATCACACATTTTCTCAAACTTGTGTTATATTGTGATATATGTACATGAATACTCCAGGCCTACAAGATGACCTCTTTGAAGAATTTAAGTTCGTCAAGATCCAGTTTCTGCATGTCAACACCACTCCGTTACTCCAGCCCATGGACCAGCAAGTTATTTCTAACTTTAAGAAGCTCTACACTAAAGCACTTTTCGAGCATTGTTTTCAGGTGACTGAAGGGACCAATCTCACTCTCAAAGAGTTTTGGAAAAATCACTTCCACATCGTTGCCTGCCTCTAGATGATCGACAAAGTGGGGGAAGGGGTTACCAAGAAAACCCTAACTTATCCTTGGAAGAAGCTTTGGCCGGAGAGCGTTGTCGATTTGTGACTTTGAGGGGTTCGAGACAGTACCTGTGGAACCTGTAGTCAACAAGATTGTGTCTTTGGCCACTATCATGAGATTAAAGGTGGATAACAGTGATATCGAAGAGCTTGTGGAAGAGCACAGCCAAGAGCTGACCACCCAAGAGCTTATCGATTTGCATTGTGTTTCACAGCAAGAAGTTTTGGAGGAAAGTTTGTCGGAGGAGGAGGTAACAGAAAAACAAAGTCTTCTGGCAAAATAAGAGAAATGCTGAAAGCATGGCAGGCTGTTGCATCTTACATTAAGAAGCCTCACCCTAATAAGGAAGTGGCTATGCGCGTTGTAAATTTATTTAATGATAATGCTGTGTCGCATTTTCGCCAAATTTTGAAGCGTCGGCAAAAACAAATGTCTCTGGACATCATTCTAGTAAAAAAAAAAAAATAATTAGGTATGTATCATAATTATTCGACTTTTTTTTCTGCAAATCAAATTCACATTTCAGGTGGGTTCGTTCCGCATTTGAAGAAAAGATGAAGATGATTCACTCTCCTTAACAATATGTATATACTTTTCTTTGAATAAACGTTATACATAGCATTTTGTGAGTATTTTTTCGACATGGAACGCATTATCGTATTTTACATTAATTTATATGAGAAAAATTGTTTCGCATAACGAGTGTTTCGCTTAACGAGTATGATTCTGGAACGAATTATGCTCGTTAAGCGAGGTTCCACTGTATATGAGTTAACTGTCTATCATTGACTATTTCATGAACATTGATGATTGTTTGATGATTGGTAGTGCTTAGTTGATAATTTGATGATTTTTTTGTTTGCATATTTTATTTGATATAGATTATATAGTATTATATGTTGACATCGTGTAAATTACTTATCAAAATTGAGGTTTTGAACAACATCATGGCACACAGGTAGTAACCCATAAGTGCTCCGTTTTTCTTCTAACTCGTCTGAATCAGAAAAACTCAGCACAGTGCACTGACTCTGTAGCACTGGCGAGGATCCAGAAATACTTTGGGTAGATTTTTTAATCAAAATTTTTCCTTGGCAGCCTCATTAGGCTACTCTTTTCAATTCCCAACTGCCAGGGGATTTTTTTTAACGTGTGCAACAAAACACATGGGCCCCCAGCATTGCTACCCAGAGTCCAGGGGAAATTACTAGATGTCCAATGAAAAAATCCCAACCTTCACTGAGGCCTGAATCTAGGACCTCCAGCACTGGAGGTGGACACCAAGCCTCGAGACCACTCAGCTTCCAAATATGTAACAGTACAGTCTATAACAAAAGGATATACTTTTAAATTGCTTGCATACTTTCAAAGAGTAGTTTGCAATGTGTATGTCAATGACCTAGTTAGCTGTTTGATGGATCATCTTCATTGCACATCAAACCATTCAGTCTTTAAGTGCTCAGATCCCCTTTTCAATAAATCCCACAGTGTGTAGTTGCTGATGACACCATTTCTGTGTTAGTTTAATTATTATTCTTTGGCTTCCTGCTTAGTGCCCCTGTCTGGCCACATCCTTTTAACCTGTTGCTCTTGCAGTCTGATCATGGTTGCTGGTTTATGATCATCACTTAATATATATTTATTAACTGATCCATATTTGATGGTTTACAGGCCCTGACAAACCCCAGCAAGTCAGAATTACACTCAGTGAGGACAAAGCCCAGATTCCGTGTCAACAATAAGGTATGCTTTAATTGTATTTTTATTGATTATCATCTGTTTACTCAGAATAAGTTACACATCTCTTTAAGTATGAATTTTGTTAATGTATGTTGTAAAAGTTAATGTTTAGTTTCTTTACTACCCGGATATAACATAGGAAAACAATCCATCACTCTGGTAATGAAAACAGGGGTTACTGCAGTCAAGCTGATATAAACAAACAAACAACTGTGTACACAGAACTATCATTAAGAAACTCAGCAAGGGAGGACAGGGAAATTATTATTATGATATTGTATGATATGTTTTATATATTATATATATATAATATTATTGTTGTTATTATTATGACTATGTTCGTTATTTTTATTTTTGTTTCATTCTGCAACTTCATTTACATTCTGGTTTAGTAATGTGTATGACCTACTCTTGTGGGCACTGGTGTCCAGGATTCCGTCTCTTATTGCAACTGGCACCATTAGTATGAGAATTCATTGCCTAACCAAAGAAGGAGATGGAGCATCTGTTGGAATGTTCTGAGTGATTTAATGTCAGTACTTTATTCATTCATTCACTCTATCTCTTGATCTTGTAGTGCTGATCCATAAATGCTTCTGCCAAAATATTCTATTGATTTTCTGTATGTGTTTTTTCCCTTCTTCCCTCACTGAGAGTTTTAATGATAGAACAGTACCCTCACTCTGGTGTGTTTTTCAATGATTTATCATGCAGAATAGCTATTTGAAGTTGTAAAAAAGAATATTCAAAATTCGTCTTCTTCTTCCTCGCGTTCACTGGCTCTAAACTCCAGCAAAAAGTTCTGGCCAATCATCCACTTCTGTACTCAAATCTTGTTCCAGAACTTGAGTTTTGCATGCACATCCAGTTTACAGGTCAGTTTACAAGAAATGCCAAATGTAACACAACATGTGACTAGAAAGCTCAGCTGAGGGAATGGAAAAGACACACACAAACACAACCGAACACTTGCACCGAAGTATTTCTAAATGGAGTATTAAATACAGCACAGACTGTGACTGGAAAGCTCAGCGGACATGATGTTCAGTTGTGTTTGTGTGCATCTTTTCCATTCCTTCCGTTGAGCTTTCTAGTCACATGTTGTGTTATATTTAGCATTTCTTGCAATCAGCTTGATTGCAGTCACCCCCTATTTACGTCATCACATGTAAACCAGTTTTGTTTTTTAAAATGTTGATGACTGTAAATCTCACAGATTACGTAAATGTCCACCAAATGTAATGTAACTTTCAGTGAAACACATAGTGTAATGTTTTTCAAATATGTAACTTCCATTTCAGTATAAATACTTGTTAAAAGGTACACATCATTTGAGGAAGAAAGCAAGTCAAATAAATAGAAACAAATGCATAATATTAGATATCATGCAATGATTTAGTTAACATCATAAAGAAAAATAGAAGGCTGTATGCGTTGATTCCGTTAATTTTATCATGTAAAGATATTTGTGATTTAGAAAGTAACTGACCAGTTATTGATATTTGTTGCTGTAGACTAGAGAGAATTGTATAATAAACATGTGCCTTGATTTTATAATTCTAACATACATTGACTTTAGTGTACAGTTTTTTAATGACTGTCTAATATTTCAGCTTGGGCTTCATGCATACATAACCTGTCACCCAAAAATTCAAGTAAGTTTTTTAAATTTCATTTTAGATTTCACTAGATTCTGTTTTTATTAATTTTTTTTTTTTTAAACATGAATCTACTAAATGTATCAAATATGCAATGTTTTCATTTTGATTCTTTATGATCTCAGGCAATCTGCATTTTTCAGTCGTTCCTCTGCACTCGACCGCTCACATACTTATCCAAACATCAACTGATTCTCTATCCTTTCTCATCTTCAAACGTTCATTCCAATCTCATGCTTTCCGCTTACCACAGTTCATAAAAACATGAGATACACTTAACACATCATTACCCTGCGTCCCTCATTTCCTATGGTCTTACGACCCTCTACGTCATCAGTGACGCTATCCTGGGGATTCCCATCATTACACTGAGAAAAGCTGCAAAAAAACCCAGAAGAGATCTTGAGAGAAATGAAGAGATTAGAAGAACTACTGGAAAAATACCAATTATTAGATTGATTGTGAAATTAAAATTGAAATGGTTAAGCAACTTCAGCCACAGTGTAGGTCAACCTACAGTGATTACACTGGGCAATCATTTCTCTTTGTGAGTCATTCAAGACATTTTCATCTCTCTTTTTACCTTCAAGGGTTTTCTCATAATTCATCTATAAAACCACATCTCTGCAGTTTACAAATAATTTTTCATTGCTCTCCTTTTCTTGTGGTCCAAGTTCATGCTCGAAGGTAGATAGAAAAGCCACATATTTCCCAGATTTACGGTATCTGTCATGGAATCAAGGTCGAAGGGTTGCGATATCCACAGTACCCTGCCAAAACGTTTACAACTCATGGCTTCCTAATTTTAAAAAAAATGAGTTGAGTTAAAAATTTACATTACAGCACTAGGGGCATTCCCATACATGCTTCGCCCCCCTCCTCAGCAGCAAGTGCAGAGTTCAATACTAGTGGGGGGAAAAAATCTGTCCAGGGTACTCTGATAATTCATCTATAAAGCCACATCTCTGCAATTTTCAAATAATGTTTCCCTAATCTACCAACTGTCCATGATTCAGTTTCATATATCAGGATAGGATTTATATCTCTGAAAATTCTCTTTCTTGTCCTATCGACAAAGAAAGATTGCATAAAATATTCTTCATTTTGTGAAAGGCTGCCTTCGCTTGAGTTACTCTACATTCTTCTTTAATAATCTTCTATCTGATGTTATCAGGTTACGAAAGTGAGATGAAATCATCGTTATCTGAACCATTTATGTAAGAAACCCAGGAAATAACAAATGCTTAAAGAAGCCAGATCTGGCACAAAATATCACAGTTCTGTTGAATATAGGCACCACACTTGTATGTCCTAAACAAAAGATATCATACAAGTGATGATGCTGATAAAGAATGTTTCAGAAGCACCAACAGACTAAGTGCTCTTGTTTATTACTGTTGTATTACAGATACACAAGGATCAGATCCAGAATGCTACTGTTTATCATGCAGGAACAGATTCCAACATCATTCATCCGGCAGACTACAGTAATGACATTGAGGCTTCTTGTGAAGATGTTTGTGAAGATGGAAGGTAAGACATTTTTTTGTGTGGATAAACTGTCACTACTTAAGATAAGGATGATCAATTGATCGATCAGTTTATCCCCTCTTGGCTGCTATCTAAACAGTCTCAATGTGGATGGCCAGCCAACAAAGTAGATCTGAGATACCTTGTTCAACCTCTAGAAAATTTATAATTATGGCACCCGTAGGCACCTGCAGACCTGTTTGGGTAAGGACAATGATGACGACACTGATGCTTCCTGGTAATTCAGCTTTCCGCTTTTATATTTCTCATGTCATCATTATGTGTTATGTTTTTTCTGGAGACCTCAGTAGTTTTTCGCAATTATTTAATCAAAAGTGTGACTAGTTTTCTGCGGAATAGTCATTATTATGTATTGTGTCTCTTCTGGATACTTCAGTAGCTTTTTCTAAATTAATTAACCTCAGATTTGACTAGTTTTCTAAGTAGCAGTCATTATTATATGTTGTTTTTTTTATTAAGGCGTGCTGTGTGGTCTTGAGGCATAGTGTCCACCTCGAGTGCTAGAGGACCCGGGTTCAAGCCCAGATAAAGGCTGGGATTTTTTTTTTCACATGGACTTCTAGTAATTTCCCCTGGTCTGTGGGTAGTAAGACTCCACTCCCATGTGTATTGTGGCGCACATAAAAAATCCTTGGCATTTGGAAATTGAAAAGAGCAGCCTAATGGCGCTGCCTGGGCAAAATTTAGAGTTAAAAATTTACCGTCGGAAATTGTGTACTGTGCTGAGATTCTTCAGACTCAGGATTGAAATTGCTTTTTCTGAACTAATTAATCTCAAATTTGACTAGTTTTCTAAGGAATAGTCATAATTATGTACTGTGTTTCTTTTGGAAACTTTACTAACCTTTCTCAAATAATTAATCTCAGTTTTGATTATTTTTATATATCATTTTATATTGAGTCTCTTGTGGAAACCTTAGTAGCTTTTTCTCAAATAATTATAAGAAGCAGCCTACATTACACCTATTTTTTTTTTAACTTATCCAAATACATCCTGACTCACCAGATAAGCAGCCAACGTTACATCTACCTGTTTTAATTTATCCAAATACATCCTAACTCACCAGATGAGAAGCAGCCAACATTACATCTACTTGTTTTAACTTATCCAAATTCATCCTAACTCACCAGATGAGAAGTAGCCAACATTACACCTACTTGCTTTAACTTATACAAATTCATCCTAACTCACCAGATGAGAAGTAGCCAACATTACACCTACTTGCTTTAACTTATCCAAATACATCCTAACTCACCAGATGAGAAGCAGCCAACATTACATCTACTTGTTTTAACTTATCCAAATTCATCCTAATTCACCAGATGAGAAGTAGCCAACATTACACCTACTTGCTTTAACTTATACAAATACATCCTAATTCACCAGATAAGAAGCAGCCAACATTACACCTACTTGTTTTAACTTATACAAATACATCCTAATTCACCAGATGAGAAGTAGGCAATGTTACACCTACTTGTTTTAACTTATACAAATACATCCTAATTCACCAGATGAGAAGTAGGCAAAATTACACCTACTTGTTTTAACTTATCCAAATACATCCTAACTCACCAGATGAGAAGTAGCCAAAATTACACCTACTTGTTTTAACAACCTATCCAAATGTGTTCTAGCTCGCCAGATGGAAAGCATCCAGTGCCACACCTACTTGCTAGAGCGGGTCATACTCTGATCAGTGCTGGAGCCTTTGTCTTTGATGATGATGATGACTATTTGTCTGGTCCACAGATGGATCTCCACCGTCTGAAACTACAGGTAATATCAGGAATTACTTTTTTGTTACCACTGTTCTTTTGATTGTTCATTTGAAAGTAACTGACATTTTTCTACACTTTGAAGCAAAGTTTGTATAATCTGCTAGGTGCATATTTTAATTATCATTATCAAGTGCCTTGCCGGCTGGGGTGGGTGATCATACCTTTCCACAATCTGTGATCCACAGCTGTGTGTATAAGTTCATATGTTGACACCCATCCATGCCATGACAGAGAGCCCTTAGGATTCTTCTTACATTGTCTTCCTCTGTCTCTCATTCCACTGATTTTTCCAGTGGTCACAACATACTCCATTTTTTTCTCTTCTCATAACATGAACAAAAAATGATGACTGTCTTTTTTCTGATGTTTGTGATAAGTTGTCTCTAAGCACTCACCTGTTTCAAAACATCTGGGTTGCTGTTATTAGCTGTCCATATTTCAATACCCAATCATAAACTGATGGATTATATGGTAAATTAACATTTAGATCAAGCATCTTTCTCATGGCATCTTTTGGTCATGGTCTCTTACTCAGTCATTTAGGTACAAAATTGGACCTTTTAAAACTGAATCGCTACAGAAAACTGATCAGATTACCACGGACTAAGAAGGAAGAAAAACACTGACATCCAACATTATCTAAGTATCAAGGAGAATTGGTTCATAAACAGCCTCCTGTCCCAAAATCTTAGCTATTTGAGCCATGTTTAATGTTATGATGACTGGAGAGAGCAATGTTGAAGGTTTCTGTTTCAAGAAAACTGTAACAGGGTCACTACCCATATTGCGTTTTAATGTTGTGCCGTTTGCGCAACAGGCCCATCATGGCCTTCACCCTTGTTTTTGGAACCTTTTTCACTGAGCTTAGTGATCGACTAAAAATACATAGGTCCTTGTCCTTGGTTCCCACGATACTTACAGCCGTCTGTCTAGACATCATGTCCAGCACAAAAACAATAAGTTGTTTTTCACATTGTTGGAATACTTTCACTGGCCCGGCTAGCTAAAGTCGCAGTAGACTCTGCAAAACATGGGCTGAAAGGTTCTGGGAGCAGGCTAGTAGCACCTATATAAGCGACTGCCCGGACCCCATACAGAGAGAGGAACGCCGGCCAGCAGAAGGAAAAGGAAGTCAGGCTTGACTGGTAGCACCAGGAGCCCGGTGGCAGTTGAGACACTAGAACCAGTTAGCATAGTAATTATAGATGAAGAAAACAACGAGAAGTACTAAGAGTATGTAACCATAGGGAAAACACAGCGCTATTTAGAATATCACTGATGTTATTTTGTGACATTGTTGTAATATCACAATAAAGACAGTGTAGACTAGAATTGTTGTCACCAGCCATTTTATTGTGCAAGCGGGAGTCATGTGAGAAGTATGCAGCAAGCAAAACATTGTCATCATCACCACCACTATTGACACGACCATCCTTTTCCTCGTCTATGTTCTTCAAATCGGCTCGCCTTGTGGCAAACCTAAAGGCGAACCTGGGTGTGACATCAATATATGTAGCAAAGGAGACAGCTGTGCCACAAAATGACGTAGACCTCCGCGAAAGTGGATACAGGACATTGAGGATGCATTGGCTATACAAACACATCAGGCTGGAGAATTGGCAAGAGAAAGAGAGACTTACAGGCGTGCCGTGATGAAAGTAACATTTTATAAACTACCTGCTGATTGATAATGGTGATGGATGGTAAATATAAAATACAGTCACCTTCACTTTTCTTTTCTGAATACCAAAGGTTGCTGTATTTGATTATTTGCCTCAGACCAGTCTTGACTTCTGTGTTTTCTAATGCCATAGACTTTTGCACTTTCGTAACTCATTCACAACCAAGCATTTTTATCTTAAACTCCTTATGTCACAAAAAATTAAGCTTAAAAGCAGTACATATTTGAATTTGAAGGAGTTCAATGGATACACAATGGAGTACACGTATTTCAGTTGGTAATTCATTTACAAATGGTTACAATACAACATATGTGTGTGATAGCTGACAGCAAGAATTTTAAATTCTCTTTGGGAACACAAGAAATGTATGGTAAGTTGTTTGGTACTGAAAGAGTTAAATGCAAACCATTTTAAACTGTCTATAGTCATCCCAGACATCAGTAAAATGATAAATTATGTGGTCAGTTATTGAAGCTTGTGGGTACTTATATACGTGTACAGACCAACCATGGTTTAGTGGCTAGACGCTTGCCTGCAGATTAGAAGGTCATGGGTTCAGATCCTGATGGAGCCGGACTCTGTTTTAAAAAATGACCTTGCTCCCATGTCCAGTGGGTACCAGGTATAGTCCTGGGAAGTAAAGACGGCTGGCATGGTATTGACCACATCACCCACTGAGTGCCGATTGGTCTATAAAATATAGTTCTAGCCCTATATGCCCAAAATGCATGATGGTGTAAAAAAAGGTCCTTAACTTTACTTTATATTTGTAGAAATGAAACTATTTTTGTTTCCATCTCTGCATAGGTTGCTGGATTTGAGCAGACACAGTCCATTCTTCACAAAAGTGAATGTCGCAGGCTCATTCCCTTATCTCCTTGCAAGGTAACAGTGTTTTTAATGTTTCGTTATTTCCAAACAACAGAACTATCACAAACTGTTTGACTGTTTATTGATTGATGAAATTCGTGAAAATTCACCATTATCACATTTTAATTATCCATTAGCATAATAATTTTTGTTTTCAGATTACACAGTATCTCAGCATCATGGGCAGACTTTAAGTAGATGTTTTAATGAGCTCATATTGTTGCTATTTTTCCAGATAATAATGTTGTGTTGTTCTAGTTGTTCTATAGGGAATCATGGGATTCACAGCCTATACCAATGGCACGTGTTTCCTCCTCTCCATGGCACAAAGCCTGGGCAGTATTGTAAAGACTGTGTGTTGCCCATGTGGCCTGATCCCTCTCTTAACCTGCCTTGGTTACTCCAATGGAAATATAACATCAATGTGTTTGGAACAAAGCAAGCTGTACAAGCTGCCAGATGAGACGTTCTGCCTGTCCACCAAGATGCCAACCAAGGCTAATGCCTGGTCTGCCCTGCCATAACGTTTAGTTTTCAGGCTGCATTTCCTCTCCCTGGGATAAGGCAAAGCCCTCACTGATGCGCTGCTGAACATGTTAGGGAACCAAATAATTGTTACTTTTTAACCTACCATGCATGTCATAAGAGACAACTAAGGAGAGGCGGCATAAAACTCTTACCTCATGTTATAGGAAAGCTTAGCTGCAAAATCTGGACAGTCATGAACAAGTTTACAAAAGGCTTGCCTTGAGCTGGTTAAATTTTCATATTACACAGAAAGAGGAAAGACAGAAAGACTCCAAGTCTGTCCCAAATACAACATATCAAGGCAAAACTTTTGGCCAAGAGAAACACTGATACAAGTCAAACTTTACGGGTCGCTGAGTGAATTACAAAAGACAGTGAAGTTCATACTGGAGACGACCTTGCAGATATAGATAATCTACTTCAAGTGAACGAAAGAAGAAGAAAAAGAAGAAAGACAGAAAATAATAATTGTGTTTTTCCATGTATATGTTCTTTAGATTAGAAAAAAGACACTTTGAAAGAATTAAAAGTTCACCATAAGCAAGACTCAGAACTCTGATGAACAGCCACTGTTATCAAATGTTCATTTTTCTTATTCTTCTTAATTTTCTTTGTTACCACTTCAGATGTCAAGGGAGATATGAGGTTTTGCTTCTTGTTATTCTGGGCACTTCAGCAATAGACACATTGTACTATTGTAGTGTTTTTCTGATGTTGTTTTTTCCATCTTGTTCTTGGTCTACCTAAAATTTTCCTTGATCTTTCTATAAGTAATTAATTTTTGTATGCATGCATGCATTCATTCCTTCTCATCCACACGGTCTCTTTCTCTCTCTCACACACACACACACACACACACACATATATGTATGTACACACACACACACATCCTGACACAAGCCACACACCACATACATTCCCTCTCACTCAAACATGCTCAAACACATTCTGTCATAAACTCACATACACAAATAGTCCTTCTGACTCACACATGCTGACACACATTCTACCTCTCTTTCACACACACACACACACACACACACACACACACACACACACACACACACACACACACAAACACTACCCGGATCCTGTCTTACTCCTCTGCGATCACACATATTCTTTCACACACTCTTTCAAACACACGCATGCACGCACACCAACACACACACACACATGCAGGTACACACCCATGCACACACGCATGCACACACACACATACACACACATGCTCATGTACATTCTGTCACAAACTCACACACATTCTGTCACAAACTCATACATACATACATATATATATTTTTATTACTCACACATGCTCACATAAATTCTGTCAGAAACACATGTACAGGCACACACAGAGACACACATACATTCTGTGTCATTCACACATGTTCATGTATATGTGCTGACACACACATTCCCTCTCACTCAAACATACTTACACACATTCTGTCACAAATCATGCACATGTTGACACAGGCACACCGCATGTACTCACACACACGCTCTTTCATTCACACATTCAGACTCGCAGTGCACACACATACACATGCACACAGGGATTTCCAATTTTACAAATAGACTCACACACGCGCGCAAGCATGCACACACACACACATGCACTATCACACTGACAGACTGACTGACTTGTTGCACAATTTGTTGTGACAGTCAAGACATGATAATTGGTATGCTCCAACAATTTAAAAAAAAAAAAAGAAACCTCTCTTCCATTGTACACCTGCAGTCATAGAAAAATCACCTGCTAAATAAAACTATTGAACAATCAAAAACTCAGTGTGTTAGTTATAGTGTTTTATGTGTATTCTCGTCTTTATCTCCTGTACAAAGTCAGATGAAATGGAAATGGAGGTTTGTAGAAGTTATGTGTTTGCGTATCTTTGACGTTATGTACATTCTACAGTGTTTTCAAGTGTTTTTTGTTTTCATGGTCTTTTGTGGTTGCTGTCAGCATGACATCTTTTTTTTTCTTTTTCTCTGTTCACATCATTGTTGTACTTATTTTCTTTTTCATCCCAACAATATGAGAAATATTAGCGCCAGTAGCTATAGATATAAACTTTTAGTTAGTTTTTGGAGTTTGGTGTAATGTTTTTGTTTTTGTTTTCAAATACTATTGATGTTTGAAGGTCAGTAATACTGAGAGATTTTTGTAAAATTAGAAAATCAATTTTTTTTTTCTACAATTTTTAAAAAAAATTGATTTTGGCTCCATGTCCAAACCAATTTACAATGGGTGTCAGAAAATATCCTGAGAATTAAAGATGGCTGGCATGATGCTGTCCACATCACATGCAAAGTGTCTTGGTCTATAAAACAAAATATTTGTCTAGCATCATATTTTCTTTGTGCTCCTAGCATAAATAAGTCTTGGTTTTTGTTTTGTTTGTTGTTTTTGTTCACCGGCCGTAAACCCTGACGGAAAGACCTGGTTGTTCATCCATTTCTAGACTTTGGCTTTGTTGCATGACCTGAGTTTTGTGATGCATCTGTTTTACAGATCTTGTTTATTTGTATGCAGACTGTTAGTTCCTTGCCTCTCAGGCAGATGCACTCTTGGAGTCTTGGGTTTTATTTTGTTACTATTCATAACATTTAAATCTAAATATTACTGAAAAATGATTAAAACAAAATGTGTGCAGTCATTGAGTCATGTATCATCTTTCCAGATTACCAGATCATCTTTCAATAATTCAGAGAATACTACAAAAATCTGGCATTATTTTTTTAATAAGATTCATGTGAAAGTAACAGATTTGGTACTCTGCCAGAGCAGAAGTTGTAACCCTCTGGAATTGATAGAGTTATTAGTTCATTCAATTAGTTGTTTTAACTGGCAAAGTATTTAAATACCCTAGTGTACTCATTTCAGAGTCAGTTCATTTTTGTGTTTGTTGTGTTTCACTACTTGTCATTGTTTTGCTGATAAAGGCTGATCATTGCAACCTATGAGTACTTTGTCTAACTGGATTTATAAAGCTGGTGTATTTTTTTTTTGTTTTTGTATGTAATTTTCTTTCTTGCTGTTGTGCATTATATTATGTTATGCTGTTACATCAGTTCACTGCACATTAAACATTCGTTTACATGCTTAGCCCTCTGATGCAGCAGTCTTCCCAAGGTACCTTTGCTGACTGTGCCATTTGAATTTATAATTGCTGTACATTATAAAAAGCCTACTGTGTTATGTCTCTAGACAGCAACTTTTATTCCTGTCAACTTGTTCTGTACCACCTGTAATAATTACTTTGACACTTTTTTGTCTCTAATGTTTTTGTTTAAAATAGCCTGTGTTTGAGTGTCGAGAAGTTAAAATAATAACACGTTATAACAGAAAGATCTAAACTAACAGTTCTGAATAATGAGTTAACTTTTTGAAAATATGTGATTGAAGATTTCCCAAATCTTATACTGACTTTGGACTATACAAATAAACATATAATGGGTTGCTTTTACAGAAAGAGTTAATGGTATGTGTGTAGTATTTTAAATGACATGCAATTAACTAAATATGTCTAAGTAATGCATTCATAATGTATTTAAAAATCAGTCAGTGCATGCTTCTCTTATTTGTTGTGAATCCCTGTGTGTGTCAGTGTATTAATATTGTCAGAAATAAAGTGTCATCATTTGGAGGGGACAAGCTCTATTCCCAGCATGGTAAATGCAGCTTTCGATTTTATGTTGGCTAGCGATTTTATGTTGGCTAGCGTACCTTTCTATCCCTCTACTTCTTTCTGTGAGTATTAATCAATACATGGTGAGTGAGTGGAGTTCAACCCATCTAGGACTGCATACTGAGTAATTAACAGCTGATGACTCAAAGAGTCACTAGTAGAGTGTGAGTCTCATAGGCAGAAGTCTAGAAACCCAGTTTATCCATATGAAATGTCGGGCATCTGACGGTTAAGAAGTAACTTGCCGTCTGATTGGATCAGGGCAATGTTTTCCAAACAAATATGTGTCTGTTTATTATATAAATATTTTCGAGGGTTGTCTTTTGGGTTAGATATTCAATATTGCAATCTGTATTTATTATGATGTGGAAGAGATAACTTCAGGGGATGATATGCTGTGATGTGTGACATTGAAAGACGTCACAACTTTTCAATCCATTAAAAACAGTATTAGACAAGTTTATATACTGTTACCTGCCTCTTGAAAATCCTTACAGGAAATGTCAAGAATAATAATTTGTGGGGCATAATGTGCCTAATCTAGGATATGCTTAGGACATAGCTTTGATTACCAAAAATGAAAATCTTTTACAAGAAATAATAGCTATATCTGCAGCAGAAAATGAAAACAAAGATCTTAGTTTGAACATTTTAATAAAGAAGTAATGGTAATTAAAAAGGCATTTTGCAACAAAGAAATAAAAGGAACTATTCTAAACAAAGTTTGTAAGTACTGTTGTACCTGGATAACAGCAGATGGAGGATGCGTTTGGGAAAGTTTCATTTAGAGAAGCTGAAGCAAAAAAAAAGTGTTAGGAGGAAGAACATTCCTTGTAGTGTATTTTCAATTAAGTTGAGAATAAGAGCTCTTAAGAGCTATGTATATTTATATTAATATATATATATATAGCCGGTCCTAGTGTATGAAGTATTGTAGAATTATGTGAATGATGTGCTCAGCTAACCAAGTGCCATCTCTGCAATAAATAGAAGCTGGTTTCATTTCCAGCTGTCTCTTGCTGGAGACAATCACTGACTAAATTTTGCTTATCCCTCTCTTCGTTTCTGTTTTTTCCTAGTTTCTGATCTGTAGTACATTTTCTTAATAACAGAGAAGAGTACATAGACTAGGTGGTACATACAGTACCAAAGTCTTATTACCCAAAGCTTTCCTCATGAATACTGTACTGTTATGTCTCTTACTGAATGAGTGCTGATTGGTCTATAAAATATGTCTAGCCCATATGCCCAATACACCTGAAAGCATGGGAAAAAATCCTTTACATATTTATATACAATCACATCCTGAACATTACTTAACTTTATGAAAGATATAATTAAAGTAAAGGTCTAATTTCCACGCCTTGAGACAGAATCGGAATATGGTGCTGATACAGTTTTTTCAAAGTTTTTTTTTTTCTAATAGATGAATCAGCACTCAGTTGGTGATGTAATCTAATCTGCCAACCATGTTTACTTCCCTGAATACTCATTTTAAGCTGAGAAGACTGGGAACCCAAGTCAGTTTTACAATTTAGCCTCTATGAGAATTTTAACTTATGACCATATTGTCAGCAGCCAGGTAGTCTAGTCACTTTCCTACCTCAGCTTCCAAAGATCTGAAAGTACAAGTTCCTGGTTATCTATCAAGTTGTGAAACCTTGCTCTTTTGCCGTCTGCATAAAATATCCTTATGTATTGGTGTCAGAGCTATTGTAAAATAGAAATAACGGTTAATGTTACATAAACTGCCAAAGACAGTGAACAGTTTATAAAAATATATTATCTTTATCTAAATTTTTCAGAATGGGATGAAGTACAGTGTCGTGATGGAGGTGAACATGTGGCATGGACTGAAGACAATTAATCTGTACTCTCCTCTCAAGGTGAGTAAAATCTGCCATCTGCTGTAAACCAGTTCCACTGAGATATGAGATAATGGGGCTGTCTCATGTTTTATTCCAGAATGATCTGTCAATAGTTTTTTTTTTAGGTTTAAACAAAAGATGAAAGTCATTGCACAAGGTTAGTAACCCATAAGTGCTCCAAAGAATCTCAGGCAGTGCTTGAACTCTGTAGCACCGGCGAGGAATCTGAAATACTTTGGGTAGTTTTTTTTTTAAACTTCAAATTTTGCCTGGGCAGTGCCTTTAGGCTACTCTTTTCGATTTCCAACTGCCAGTGGATTTTTTATGTGTGCAGCAATACATATGGGCATCCGATCTTACTACCCAGAGACCAGGGAAAATTACTAGAGGTCCACATGAAAAAATCCCAGCCTTCACCCGGGCTGTAAGAGAGTACAAACATAACATGAATTTCATTTATTCTTTTAAGGACTAAATCAGTTTAGTTACAATTTTTTTATAAAGCTAGACACTAAAGTAAAATGTGTATGCATGTGGTAAAGGAATTCAAGGACCACATCATCCATCTATTGCAAATTACTGGGTCTAGCACCATAAGAATGGCTTACCATTGGCGTGACAAAATGTCATTTAATCCTTTTTACATAATTTGTCCAGTTATACAATTTGAAGAATGCTTAAAATTCCTTGGTGTGCTAGAATGGGTAACCAGATGTTTCGAAAGAGGTGAGGGCTCGAAGACCACTTTTCACAAACATAAGAAGGAGACAGTTTTTGGATCATCTAATGAGAAGAGGGAAACTAGAATATGTTGTGACGACTCGACGTCTTCTTGTTTTGTAATCTCAGTGATACCAGATTGTAGCCCAGTGTCGTCATTTTCTGTATTTGTCTTGGTCTTCTCAGGTGCCACGATTGGTTGATTTGTTTATCTTTTTACAGGTTTCAGCTACACCATTTATACCTCTTTTTCTTTGTTTTTTCCCTCACCTTCCTCCCAGATGCTCTACTGTAAAATCTCTCATATGCAATCTGAAGGTTGATATGGCTGAACCTTTTCATTCTTTGTTTATCAATATAATCCGGACATGATCTTATTCCAACTTTCTGTCTATTGCTGGTTTTACATAACCCTGTCCCCTCTTGTGTTGTTTGTGACCTTACAGAGACATTTCACATGTGATTATTTTCTGTTCTAGTGCCCTGTTCATTGACCACTGGACAGATTTATGGAAAGAGAGATATAGGAAGACAGCATGAGATGATTCTTTACAGCAAGACGCTTGTTGATGATGATAAACATTTGACAGAATAGAAAGGAACAGACTGGGAAATCTTGAAAAGTTACAGTATGAACACGCATTTAATAAGAATATCTAGCAGTTTGGACAACAACAGTGAATGAACTGTTAGAACAAATAGACGACACTCAGAACCATTTACCATTTAATCTAGAGCATGGCAGGGGTGGGTCCTGTCTCCCCTTCTGTTTACAACTTACATTCGTGGATGACCAAGCACTAATTGCTACTTCAGAAACTGAACTGCAAGACTGTACAAATTATTTAAACCAAATTTGCAAAGAGCTTACATGAAAATTATTGCTAACAAAACAGAGATCATTACCATAGCCAAAGAAGACAAAGCAAAAAATATCCAGCTAACAGATCCGTCTCTGAAACAAACCAAGAACTTCAAATACTTAGGAAGCATAATATAATCAGCTGGCGAAACAGAAGATGAGATTGATGGCAGATGTAACAAAGGAAACCAACTCATTAGGCAAATGGCATTAATACTAAGAAACAAACATGTATCAGTAGAAACCTAAAGAGAACTATATAACACAAACCTTTTGCCAACCCTGTGTTATCAATACCAGACCTAGACAATGAAAGAAAAGTGAATAGAAAAATTACAACAACTGAAATAAGATTCCTGTAAAGGGCTCTCAAAATAAGAAGAAGAGAGAAATCAGAAACAATGAAATCTTAATAAAAATTGGAGTAACAGCAGCTCTGGATTTCATTATAAGAAAAGAGATGAAATGGTTTGGCCATATAACGCGGATGTCAGCAAACAGTATACCACAGCAGGCAATGATGTACAGACCAGGCGGGAAGTGAAGATAAGTCTGATCATGCAAGCAATCGCGGCGTCCGTGGCTAAGGCGTTGCGAGTCCGACTCGTGAGCCAGCATACTGCGATCGAAACCCACTGCAGGCTGCGTGGATTTTTGTCGTGGTATGGGACGCTGCAGGTCGACCCAGCCTAAAATGGGTACCAGGATGGGTTGTCCTGGGAAAGTAAAGACAGCTGGCGTAATGCTGACCACATTACCCACAGAGTGCTGATGGTCTGTAAAAATATGGGACGCTCTTCCCATATGCCCGATGCGCCGAAAGGCGTGAAAAGGGATCTTTACTTTTTACTTTACTTTTATGCAAGCAATGGACAGAAGGAAAAACAGAGTCACTGGAATCCGTATTTACGAAGCACAAAAACGGACACTTTCCCGTAAATTATACACCTCGATACCACAAGATACTAGAGGACCATAAAGAGATGATGATGATGGAAAGATAGATACAGGAAGACAACATGAAATGATTCTTCACAGCCTATCAGCAAGACACTTGATGATGATGATAAACAGCACTTCTATGAGTCTCCAGATCTTGCAGCTAACATAAATCAGTTACTTTATATGGAACAGCACAATAATTGGTATTTGTTATTAAAGTTTTTAATTATACAGATTGTTGTATTAATTTATGTAACAGGTAACAATAATGTTTGATTTTATTTTCAGCTGGAAAATCATTTGACAATGTCTATAGACGTGTACTGCAGAACAGAAGATTTAAAGAAATTTAAAGCCACCCAGAGTTTGGCAAATGCTGACAAGTTTTCCAAACTGGCAACTGTGGAGCCACAGGAAACTTACCATCTTCCACTCTTTGTTGCATACCACTCCCCACTGTATGTCAAGCCTTCAGACATCAAGTCAGTATGGTGTTGTGTTCTGTGTTTATAATTTTGTAACATTTCTTTCATTTATTAATACTATTATTTCCTTGTTATCTGTTGAGTCAAGTCAGCGTGACTGTTATTTAATAGAGAATTTATAAAAGAATTAAGTATTTTTAAACTAAAGGTCTTCTTCTTCTTCAGCATTCCAAGCCCTTGAGGTTCATTGCTGCAGATATTGTCCGTCTCTGTTCATCTCTCTGGGTGGCCTTCTCTTTCCAGTTGGTGAACTAAGGGTAGTTCAGAAAAAATTATGTTTACCTTTAACTGGACCTTTCTGTAAAAATGTTGAGGTCACAAGCATAAACCATCCATATGAATGTCTTCTTCCTATATATTTACCCTTTAGAATGTTTTAAAATCTATATATAGAAGGGTAAAGAATGTCCATGGCATCTTTGAAGTAGTTTCCTTTAAAGATCAAATTGAGTACAATCAGTGATTTCACACTAAGGAAACAATATATCCACCATGCTAATGACACAATGCTATCAAGGTTGTCTAATTATTCATAGTCAATGTCTAATTATTCATAGTCAATGTCTAATTATTCATAGTCAATGTCTAATTATTCATAGTCAATGTCTAATTATTCATAGTCAATGTCTAATTATTCATAGTCAATGTCTAATTATTCATAGTCAATGTCTAATTATTTGTAGTACAGTTTGTAGTACAATTTCTATCATCACAACCCAGATCAAAGCAAAATGTGAATCTTTACGAACTGAATTTTGGTCATATATGTATTTACATCGTATATAAATTTAATATAATAAATATATAATCTGAGAACTCATTTAACACTATATACCCCAATTATAACCCTGAGGGTTGAAAAGGATATCCTTGGGTTTCTTTAAAAAAAATTTTTTTAATGCAATTCTTTGAGAATTGTTATTTGTAAAACCAGTAATTTGAACTAGGGCTTTTTGCTATATGTCAATGGATTTAAGACTGACATGGTTTAGCCTCCTGATCAGATTGAACCCAGAATCCCTGCTTGCAAGAGCATACAAGAGCATGAGAATGGAAACAAATAGGCAGAGGAAGGCCAAAAAGAAAATAGATAGATATGGTTAACAACTTGCTGAAACTCAACAATATCACCTTGCAGCAATCTAATGAGCAGACACTATCCTGAAAACCAACCATTAGATGTTCCTACAGTGCCTAACAGCATTAAGCAGAGAAAGGCAATAGATAGACAGATAGATATACATGGATTTCAGATATTAATTCATGAAAAGAAATATTTTGTTTTGGATTTTACTCTTCCTTGTATTCCTCTCAGGAGTAAGACCTGATTGATTTATGTCTGAATTATAGTTAACCATGGTAGAAAACATGCATCCTTGTTTTTATGTTTTCATAAAACATAGATATAATTCACTTTCTTTATATAGTTATGAACTCACCTACAACGCCCTCTGGTGGCAAGAAATGCTTCAAGGCAAGGACAGGGTGAAGAACTTCCTCTGCACATCATCTCAAGAGGAGAAAAAGTCCTTCAATTTCAAGGTAAGTTGAACAAATCAATGTTGTTTTATTGTTCAGAGGTTTTCTAGGTGAGGTGTACTTGATGAAGAATTCGCAAATTTTACAGCAGAATGTGGAGATTCTGAGAATGAGAATAAACACCACAGATCATTACAGCAGTTAAATATGCCTCAAATACTTGTTTCACCATCATCTCAGCTTTCAAGAGTCACTTTCATTGCAAGATGCTCACATAAGTGATTTGTGATTTTATTGGGGTTTTTTTAAACATTTTGTAAATGTTTCCATGGATAATTTTTCTTTGTCAGTGTCCGATATTCATTCGGTTTTATATATGTAATCTGTTGGTCATATAATAATTGCTGTTGTATAATCTTAGTTATTATTTATTAGAGTTTAAAATAATGTTTTCCCATAGACAATTTTAATAATGGTGACATAGAACAACATTACACAACTTGTTTGCCTGGTTTATTTGGCTGTATCTCATCAGATGCCTTAGACATAGTAATGAGCATATAGTGAAGAAAAAGAAACATTAATCCTACTTAATAAAATACACAGATCACATTGTCTGTTGTTACACTGAACATCACACCAAGGAAAGTTTTAGACTAACCACATGATCTTTTTGTTTACACAATGCAGCATTGTCAGTTCTAATTGTCACACCTTAAATTGTGCAATATTTGTTTGTGTTTATATTAGTCAAATGCATTGAAGTGTCTATAGCCATTTTCGAGGCAGGGGTATGCTAGCTAGCCTGCACATATGTAATCATGTGCCTGAATTCCCATTGAGTCAGAAAGTTTGTAAATGTACCTGTGCTCCCAGGTCACACAGCCTAATCAATATCTGGAAATTTTCTTGGAAGTAAAAGTGGCAGGCATGATATTGACCATATTAACGGTCATGAATGGATTTTTATGAAAATACTGGATTAGCACTCATTCATTCATTCAGTAGCATGTCCCTCGCGGAACCTCGCTGCCATAACAACCCTCCGGAAAACCTTCCTATCATGAGCAAGATGTCCTGCGTCTGATACACCCATCTGGAGATCATCTGCCACATCCTGCACCCATCTTCTCCTTGGCCTTCCTCTTCCTCTCTTCCCAGGCATATACCCCTCCATTATTGTTCTCTCTAGACCTCCATGACGTTTCAAGTGACCAAAATATTTCAATTTTCTTTGTTTTATTGTCTTTACTAGCCAACCCTCTTCAATATTCAGCTCTTGAAGTATGGATGCATTTGTTCTTTTCTTTACCCAAGATATTCTTAGAACCTGTCTGTAACATTTATATTCAAATGCATTTATGCGCTGTTCCGCTTGTTTAGTAAGTGTCCAGGTCTCACAGGCGTATGTTGCAATGGGAAAGATGCATGCTCTTAAAAATCTGACCTTTGTAATTCTATCTGTACAATTCCATAATTTATTCAGTTGTTTTAGTCTTTGAAGAGCAATTGATAGTCGCCGTTTAATTTCTTTCATTGTGTCACCATTGTTGGTAACCAGTGACCCAAGATATTCGAAAGTTTCCACCACTTCCAATCTTTCCTCATTAACATATATTTCCTTCTCCATGGCAGTTTTATAGTTTTTTTATGATTAGCACTACATATCGTATATACCTCAAGGTATGGAAGAGGATCATTTACTTTGCATTCAGGATATATGTATTGTCATTTGGTAATATATCAATTGTAATATAGTAATATATTGATTGTAATTTAGAAATATATAGATTGTCATTTGCTAATATATTGATTGTTATTTGGTAATATTTTTATTGTCATTTGGTAATAAGCTTGCAGTTGTTTGTTAATGTGTTGAGTTCAATTTTATTGTATGAATTTTTTTTTTTTTTTTTAATTAAGGTATTCATTGTCATTGTTTTATATTTTAAATTGTCATTTAAGTATATAAGTAAAAAAAAAAAAAAAAAGTAAAGATCCCTTATTACGCCTCAGGCGCATCAGGTATATGGGCAGAGCGTCCCATATTTTTACAGACCAATCGGCACTGGATGGGTAATGTGGTCAGCATTACGCTGGCCGTCTTTACTTCCCCATCCTGAGGCTGGGTCGACCTGCGACATCCCATACCACAATAAAAATCCATGCAGCCCGCAGTGGGTTTCGATCACGGTACGTTGGATTATGAGTCAGACTCGCAACGCCTTAGCCACGGACGCCGCATTTAAGTATATGTTCAGGCCAATTTCTTACACAATGTTTTTCATTGGCCAGGTTGTCTGCAAAGAAGGTGAACAGCTGAAGCCACAACACAGTGTTCCTAGAGCAGTGCCATACTACACAATCAGCTTGTATCCCCCGGTTGTTCTACACAACTACCTCCCATATGATATTCAGTTTTCACTGCAGGTTTGTGTTGTCACCTGACCTCTCTTGTTTTTTAAAATAGAAAATGTAGGATGCATGCAAGCATTGTGTAGTTTATAAAGTTGGATGCAGTCACAGAACAACCACAGTATTGGTTGGCTGTTGTCTGGTTTAATTATATAAACGATTTTAGGTTCAGTAGTTTGTCATTGTTTTCTTGGTGCTTATACTGTTGTCAAATACAAGCAGTACAGTCTGCTGCCAAATCACATGCATCTAACTTTAAATTCCATGGTGTCCAGACTGAAACAGCCAGTAGGCCTTAGATGCCAATGTTAAGTTAAGCTAATAAAAATAAAGTTTAGTGAAGAAATTCTGCTTACATGGTATGATGACATTTTGAGATCTCGTTCTGCTACCTGCATTTATTATTCAGCACAATTGTCTTCGGACCATAATGATCTGTTTGCACTTCCATAATGTTCTCTTGCTTCCAAAGGACCTGAACACATCTAGCATGTTCATGCATCAGTTCACAACTCACTGGTGCAGTACCAGCCAATCTATCTGTCTGCTTGTTTTCCAGTACACTAACAAAATAGGGTAATAACTACTCCGGATTTCTGGCCCAGTGCTTGCCACTCTGCACAAAGCATACCTGTCCCTGCCTTTCTCAGCCTGCATTTTGAGTTGTTTTTTTTAAAATCACGACGTGTGAGTGCGTGTGTGCATGCATGCATGCATGCATGCGTGCGTGCTTGTGTGTGTGGGTGCATGCGTGCGTGCAGTTTGTCCTAAGTACTTGGGTTTTGCAATTGATGAGAAAGATGTCTTAATGCTGCAAAAGACAGCAGTGTTTTATATATAGGGCAGTTAGTCTATCTTGTTAGTTGGTATGCATTTTTTTTTTTTATTATTAAAGACTACATTGAACATATCCAAAGTTTTGAAGAATTTTGAAATTATTGTAAACATTACACAATCTTGACACAAGATCACTAGCATGTTATAATTTTTCTTAACACCTCATGTTGCTGAATTAATTTATCTGCAGTGTAGAATAATTGATGATGATTTAAGTGATTGGTTTGCAGTTGAAATACTGTTATTTGGTATAGCTATTGACCAGGTGAGGAACAATATTTGTTTTAAAGACACCAGCATTGACTGAGTGGAGAACAGCCAAATGGAAGATCTATATTTTGCAGATGATATTGTTCTGCTTAGTAAGATCCACAATGACATGCAAAGAAAAACAAATGATTTAATGAAAATGGCATCAAAAGTTGGACTACAATTAACTTATGAAAAGACAAATATATTCAAGACACCAATAACATTTCAAGTACATGTAAAACTAAGATCAAAAAGAATTAAAGTAACAGATCAGATAACCTTTTTAGCTTGCAATGTTGACAGTCAAGGGAACACGAAGAAAGAAATTATGACACACATTTGGCAAGAGATCTGCAGCTTTTAAAAGCTTGAACATAATATTGAACTCTAAATAAATTTAAAGTTGTAGTAAATTAGATAGTTTTAGAACCATGTTACATATTCTCAGTTCTAATGCTATTTCAGTTTAAACATGTGCCAGTGAAAGTTGGAGAACCACTAAAGATATGAACAAATGTTAAATGCATCCTAAAACAAATGCCTGGACATGATCTGAGAAAATATGAACAGAGAATCACTGAACAGACACAAAAATGGGAAATATAGGAATTGAGGGAATGAGGATATTTGTCCAAAAAAAACCTATTAGCAAACGTTGGTGAGAGAAGCCAGAGGTGCTGGATTGGATTCCATCCACAATAGTGATTGCACAGAATAGAATGGAACTAAGAAATAGACTGCCAGCCCTATGTGGCATATAATGGCACAACAGGACAATGAATAAATGAATGTAAATTAGACATGCTTACAAAATTTCTTAAAGGTTTGTTAATCCCCAAAAAAATTATTTCTTGTGATTCAAGAAAATATAAATGAATTTTGTTTTTTAATTCATTTTTCAGCAGCATAAAGCTTAATTTTGAAAGTTATTAATAACATATTCTTTCATATGTTAAGATCTTTCATTCTTGATTGTAATTGTAACTGACGCATTGAGTATGTTGAGAAAGGCGGAGACAGGCAGGCTCCATGCAGAGTGGCTGGCATCAGTTCACAGGTCCCGGTAGGTAACGTCCTTTGGATATTTTCTCTGTGTTACACCTGTGTTTTGGGAAATAAGCAGGTAGACAGACTGGGCGGTTCTGCACCACTTGGTGGTGAATTGATGTATGACAAGCTAGATGTTGTGAGGGCCCTTTTGGAGTGAGTGAAAAGTGCATAGGTACAAATAATTATTATGGTTTGAGGAGAATGGCGCTGCGGGGAGTTACCAGGGGATCTGGTTAATGTTCAACATTCAAGGGAAAGGTGAGATGGATGTACAGTCAGACAGTTACTGGTACCTTGGGAATTGGAACTCTTTGCTTGCTGCTGAAGGTGGGGATGAAGCAATTATGGAAGTGTTCTGAGTGCTATGTTGTTGTTTCTTAATTTAACATTTAACAATCTTGATTTTTGTTTACAGAGTAAATTTGACATTTGTAACAAATAAATGTTAAGACTATATTACAAAAAGTTGTTTCACACAGGGAACATCTATGTCAAGTAGTCTGACTCATGGTGAGATGACACCCCTATACACAGTGGAAACAAGCAAGTTGTACAAACTACAAATTACTGTAAGTTTGATGGATAAAGACCTGAGTATATTATAAATGGAAACTTATTTGTTGAAGTAAAGGATGTGATTGCATTTTTTGCATTTTGATAGTGAAGAGTAATTTAAGGTAATTCTTTTTTTTTTTAAACTAGAGAATGAGGAAATTAGAAAGTTGTACAAACTACAAATTATTATATGTTTGATGAGTAAAACACAAGAAATATATTATTATTAAATGGAAGCTTATGTATTGAAGTAAATGATGTTATTTTTTTTTTTTTTAAACAATTTTTTTATTGATAGGGAAGAGTAATTTATGGTAATTCTATTATTTGCACTGGAAAATGTTATTAAATTAAAACTAAAAAGTGATTTTTGAGTACTGAGTATCTTTTTTTTTTCATGTGCAGCATGAGCCCACATTACTGCTTCATTTATGTCCATGTCAGGACAATACCCATCATCAGATTCATTGAGGAACAAAGACCTAAATGGTTTTGACCACCTAGTGAGAATCAATCCAACAGTGCTGGCAGCGAGCACTTTTAAACTTGAGGCCTCTTATTATAATTCAGTGCCAAAGTACCATCTCCACAAGACTGTATTGCAGAGCTTTCCCACCCTTTCTAAGCTCCAGACTTAGTAGGGTTATGCATGACGAGTACTGTAACTTCACATCTGGAAGGAATGTGGTAAAATGTAGTCAGGGTTATGGTTCGAAGCAAGACATATAGACTGGCTGGCATTGGGCTTTCTAGGTTAGTCATGTTTCTTTTCCCGGATTTAAAGGTTTCAGTTGAATTGAGCTGAGTTAAGAACTGACATCACAGTACTTGGGATATTGCCTTAAACACTCCATTTTCATCTTCAGTGTTCAGCTGTTTGATTTTATGTTCAGTTTGTTTTTCCTCTGAGTGAAGAGTGTCAGCCAGATCCCATAGATTTTGAACTTCAGTGTCAGCAGACTTCACCCAGTGATCAGGTCATGAGTATACTGGTAAAGATTTTCACACAACAAAGTATAATTACTGGTTAAACATGGTCATACAGAACAATATAGAAATGAAAATTAGTAACCATGAGGTTAGCATAGACCTAATATTAAATAACTTACAAAGTCGGCAATGAGTGGAGTGACCAGAAGAGGTAAAATCAAGAGTGAGTTATGAGAGAAAGTCAGTATAGACCTAATACTAAATTACTTATAAAGTCAGCAAATAAAATGGTTTGCCCGCTTCAAAATAGAATGTTAAAGAGAATGATTTCTGATGTCTTACCATACAAGGCTTACACCAAAATAGCAGATGGTCATAGAGATTGACTGAGAACATACCAGATAAATACCTCAATAACAGTAACAAGTGTCTATGTTCAAGGAAGCCAGAAGAGCAAGAGCTAGAATGTTGTATCTCCCCCACCACCTGAAGTGATGAAATAGGAAAGGAAGAAGACATAAGAGTAAATGTTGAATGTTAAATTAAGAATCGATATCACAAAACTCTGGGACACCCTAATAAGCGCTCTGTTCTTATCTTCAGCAGCAAGTGAAGAGTTAAAATTCTGATGGTACCAATAACTGTCTGGTTGTAAATCCATCTCGCCTTTCCCCTTGTTATCGAGCATCGGCCGAGATCCCCTTGTAACTCCTCGCAGTGCTCTTCTCCTCAGACCGTAATGATCTATCTGTGCCTCAGCACTGTTCACTCGCTCCCAAAAAGCCCTCACAACATCCAGCTTGACATACATCATTCCACCTCATAGGAGTAAACATTAAATTTTGCTTTAATTGAAAGACTTCACTAAGGGGACAAGACGTTTCATTACCCAATATAGAACAGGCTTGATCAGTCGTTTTACACTTGTGGAGCTTTTGAGGAGGAGATTGGAGCACATATGGAGCTGTTCAGTGCTGTGATGATAATTCTTTCTAATCACTAATCCCTTCAGATAAACATGACACTAATGTAGTGGGTTTGTTTTTAGCTTCCTGATTACATGGGATCAGACTGGCAGGGCTTCCTTGACATCTCCCCTGACATGGAGGAGTTTCGAGCCATCACCATGGAAACAGAAGTTGACTCTGAGAATCTGAATAGACACCTTAGCCTCAGCATTCATGCAAATCAGTCCAACTCCTTGGACTTGAGAATTTATGCACCATATTGGATTGTAAATAAGACAGATCTTCCACTGCAACTGCGGGTGAGTGGTTATGAATGTCTTAGTTCTGAGAAATAATGTTTAGCATAGTTGGCTGTTTGTACTAATTTTTTTTTTAAACTGTTATTTAGGCATTACTTAGTCAAAATAATCTGCATTTCTGTTTTAATTGTTCTGTTACCTTTTCCCCATTGATCTTTCCAATGATTTTTCTCTTTTATGATGTAACCAAAGTCAGGCTCTTAGTTTCTTCTACATTCTTTTCTGACTTTTTAAAAAAAATGTATTATCTTTGATCTGTCCAATAATTGTTTTCTTCTAGGCTTTCAGTTTATTTCTACTTCATTTTTTTTTTAATTAAAATATTTAATTGTACCATTTTAAATTATTTTCAGATTTGTAATTTTCTCACTTTATTTCAGGGTTCTATGTCCGACGCTGTGTATGAATTTGGCAGTTCACCAAATCCACTTCTGTTTAGATTCAAAAAGCACAAGAAGAAAAAAGTAAGTACCATTGTGCCCTAACCTTCTTTCCTGCTAATTGGAGCTCTCTATGGTCAAGTGTTCAAGCTCACTGTCTTATATTGTGAAGGTTTTGAGTTCATTTTTGGACTGCATAATTTGGTTAATGAGTGCAGCTTCTCTGAACTCTTGGGATCATTGCCAGATTGTGGAGTTTGTATACTGTGCAACAATCTCGACATTGTTATTTCTGCATTTCTGCATAAATCATTTCCATAATAGGGATAGAAACAAGAATCCAACTAACCAGCAAGATCTGGTATCAACTTACTCCTGTCTTGCAACACTCAGCTATTCCAGCATAAATAAGAAGCCAAATTGTAACAGTAATCTTTATCCCAACTTTAGGTTGCCAGTGTCAGATTTTGGACATTAATCAAAGAACACAGTAGAAAACTAACCCCTGTGAAATTGGATGATTGAGAAAGATTGCAAACAAAGCCAAAAGATCTTGTAAGAAAAGAGATTAGAAAGACCATTGAAACAATATAAATCATAAAATTAATTGAAGAATGTAGACTTAAATGGTTCTTCACCCTTGTGAGAATAAATGCAAGTGTCTTGAGCCAATAGGTTTAATTTTAAAAAAAAAAATTAAATTTGTGATAAAATTTGTGTGTGAATTTGCAGACCAAATGGTAATGGAGAAGGTTTAGAACATAATTCAATCATTGTAAAATTTGACATGTCACCCAAAAAATGGTCATAAAATCCAAAGCATTTAGATTAATTGCCTTAAAAAAAAAAAAATAATATATATATATATATATATATATATATATATATATATATATATATATATATATATATATATATATATATATATATATATATATATATACTATTTGCTGCATAATTTAATAGAGAAGGCATGTGAGTTCTTAGAAATCGATAGCAATGTTAATAAACTAATTGTTTTTTAAAAAGTAAGCGAAGCACAGAAAAACTTCTTGAGTAAAAATCTGTATGTCTATCCTTGAATGTTGTGTCATTTTTTTCTTTCTGGGGGGGGGGGGGGGGGGGGATTTAACTCTTTGAGTCCCAGGGAGTTTAGCATCAGAGGCCCAAGGGATGGTAATGCAAATTTGTTTAGTTTCACAAGTGTAACACATTAAAACAGACAATACTAATTCAATTGCTGTGCAACATACACATATTATACATCAAAGTGACCAGAGATTGTTAAGGAATAATTTTAGCATAGACCTAAAACAAATAATTGCATTAGTAATTAAAAATTAGTAAATAAACAGATGGTAAGTTTACAGAAATTAGTAAAATGAAAAAAAAAAATTCCACTTACCACCATGGCACTCAAGAAAAACTGGTTAAAATGTATCCAAAATGAGTAAAATATAAATTCAATCTTTACATTCAATTTTGTTTCAGAGAATCTTTTGAAACATCACAACAGAGCACTATTATAAAGTAAAGAAAACTGACTCCAAAAACAATAAGTATATTCATGCAAAACAAAGTTTATCTAACACTCGCCCGGCTCTCTAGCGTAGTTGGCTAAACCGGATTGCGCGGTGACCGGGTGACGAACTCCTTGTGGTCCGGGTTCAATACCGGGGGTAGGCAGGAAAGCCACATTTCTCCCAGATTTACGGTATATACAATGGAATCAAGGCCAAAAGGTTGCGATATCCATAGTACCGAGCCTTAGGGTTAACAACTCATGGCTTCTGGATACTAAAACAAACAAACATCTAACACTCAGTTTGCCTGTAATTTTGTAGCTATGTTCCTAAATAATAAGGGAAATAGCACTAGAACTAACTGACACTGAAGAAAAATTGTATTTTCACTAATGTTTATTTTTTTTGTGCCAGCTGACTTTGCTATCGTTGTACCCTTCATGTGAGGTACACATTAGACATATCCCTCATCAAAGTTTGACTCTATAAATGACTGAAACATGCCTAATTCACAACGTTATTTATCTAACTTCGGATAAATCTTTAAAAAAAAAGTACTTTATTTAAATTTTAGGCTTCTAATGCCGTAAATCACGTTGGCATGCATGTAGAATAGTGCTTGGCGGCCATATTCTTTTCAAACAAACAGTAACTCGGGAATCTCGCAATAATACTATATTTTCGGCTTTCAACCCAAGTTTCTGAATGAGCACACTTGATATCAAACACAAAGAACTCAGAAGGAAGTTGAAATTGAGCGGTCCGCGTTTTACAACTGGTCAGTGGTAGATTAAAAACCTTAACTTGTCACACGTCGATTGGGCCGCTACATTGAAACAAATCAGCACGTGATGCACTCCCTGGGACTCAAAAGAGTTAATACTGATCCCTAAATAGTTTAGATGTATTCTGTATTAATTTCTCTTTAATGTGATGTATTATATGTCAATATACAGCCAATACCTTTTTTCAGGAAGGTTTTAGCTTTTTAATGTTGTATTAACAAAAAAATTCAGCTCAAAATTAATTTTGTCCTAGCCCAGACATAATCTCATCCTGAAAGAGTTAATGGAATATTGATCTGTGCAAAGCATGGACAGTAAACAGACAAGCTGAAAAGCATCAAGCATGACAGAAGAAAATGTGGTTTATGGGGGAAAATGCATATGAATATCATTGATAGAAAAAAAAAAAAAAACAGCTGAGGTATTCCAACAAGAAACAGCTGAAAATGGCAAATAAACTGGAGATATTAAAATTTTGCAGTCCAGATTTCTGTTAGCATGTTATGTAGAGAATTGTTCTAATCCATATTGTGTCTGGGGTTTTTTTTTTTTCTTCAAATGTTGCCTTTGAGGCTACTAGGTTGACCCAGCCTTAAATGGATACCATTTAATGTTGTGGGACGTAAGGCAGCAGCATTGTGCCAGATATGCCACTGGAATCAAAGATCTTTCAAATAATGAGTGTTTTTTTTAAAGGGGTTTTCACTTTATTGGGAGAAAAAGATTTGAAAATATATGTAAATATAATTGGAAAATAGCTAGGGGAAGATTAAAAGATAAATATCTGAATACTTAGATATCACCCTATTTATGCTTACACTATTTCAGGCCAAACTGCGAGTTTATGAATCCAGATGGTCACAGTCATTTTCTACTGATACAGTTGGGAGCGGAGGGGTTGTCATCTGTAATGACAAAGAAAGAGGGAAGAAGTACATGGTAAACACAGTTGATAGCATCCTACTTCATTGTTTTATTTAAGTCACAAGTTAATAGACTCTTGGGAGAAAATACTCAAGTTTATCCTGTAATAAACTTTACTGTCTTCTCATCTTCTCAGTGCTAGAGGAATGTGTTACTGTTTTCAGACTAAGTGAAGGTATTAAAATTTAAGATCAGTATATAGTTTACCCCTATCCTATTAATAGAAACAGTTATGTTATATTTTTAAAGAACCCAGGTGAAGACCACCAGTTGGAACTTGGCTGCCTGAGACTCTTGAAGGATAAAGAAGCATTTATTTATTGGTGGCAAATAATAGATCACCACAGTCTGAAGAGAATGGTGTAGCAGGAAGTGACCAGGGAATCTGGCTGACACTGAAGCCTCATGGGAAGGGCAAGAGGGACATGCAATCAGATTGCTACTGGTACCATTGGAATTTGAACTCTGTGCGGACTTCTGAAGATAGGGATCAAGTGCTTATGGAGGTTTCCCAAGTGCTATGATATCAGATTGAAACTCAGCTCAGCTTATTTAATAGTATAATTTACTTTAAGTACAATCCACAGCTATGACTTCCTTTTATAGTTCAAAATGTGTGTTATTAGCAGTCGTGATTGACCATAGGCTTCTGTCTCATCATTTTCAATCATTTCTGATACAGATACTCCTCTCCATCCATGATGCCAAACAGTCCAGCATAGCTTCTTTCTTATTCTCTTTCTGCCTCTCTTCCGTTTAGATTTTTTCATGTCTGGACATACACCAGTTTTCCCCTTCTCAGTCGGTTATGTTTCACCATCTCACAGAATCACCAGAATCAGAGACAAGGCACCGCTCTTGTCTCATCCAATTCAAATGGCTAAACCATCCACGTATTTATGTCTTTTGCTTTTCCCTTCCTCTTTTACCATCAGTCTTGCCAGTTGTAACCCAGTTCTCGAGCCCAATTCTGCTCATAACATGTCCAGAACACACTGACTGTCAAACTTATAATTTAATAGTGTAACTGTTAGTCATTCTACTATTTGCAGATGATCAGTGCCTGTTCCAAAATTAGAGGATTCTACTGAAAGAACATTTAAACAGGCTACGATCAGTATGCAGAAGATATAACATGAAAATAAAAATGCTACTAAAACTGAATTAATGCAGGTCAGCAGAACTTCTAGTCCGCTACACATCAGGTTGAATGGTAGATGTCTGAAGCAAGTTTAAGATTTTAAATATCTCTAAAGTATATTCTAGGAGGATGGGAGAATAGATCAGGAAATATAATCAAGATGCCAATGAGCTAGTGCACTTATGTACTAACTAACACCGTTATTGAAACATCCAAACATAGGTATGTGTGCCAAGAAACTGATTATAAACAGCATATTCATACCAAGACTACCAGTGCTACCAAAAGCTAACCTGCATAAAATTGACACTTGTGAAATGAGATGCCTGAGAAAAGCCACCAACTTAAACGTCCAAGACAAAGTTATAAATTATGTTATCATACAGACTGCAAGAACAACACCATGCAGCAAATTCATTGAGAAAAAGAAGATCAAATGGTTTGGTCATCTACAAAGAATGCCCCTAGAAAAACTCCTAACAGGCACTACACATGAAAAGATCTGAAGTGAAAGCAAAAGGCTGCCCTAGGAGAAAATGGACTGATGACATTTAAGAGCTTCTTCATTGACTTGGAATGCTTGGGTTAAAATAGGGTTAAATAACACCATATGGCAGGAGAATTTAAGTAGCTACTGGGGTAGAGTCATCTCATGAAACAATTGGATAAAGCAAAGAAAGTTAATACAAGCATATCATATATGGAGAAGCAAAGAAACACACAATACGTTACTTGGTACTAAATGAGTTGAGTATTTGTTTTCCCCAGTAAGTACTCTTACTTTTGTAATTAACTCTTTGAGTCCCAGGGAGTTTAGCATCACAGGCCCAGTGGGTAGTAAAGAAATAATAAAATCGGTGCATCTTGCGTTAATTGGGCTTCTCGGCGTCTTGCGTTCCTTGGGACTCAAAGAGTTAAAAATTATTCCATGTAAGATTCTGACTTTTGATTGAAAAATTGTTTGCATTATGTTTGTGAAGTATTAAACAGGTCTTAGTGGTTATAAATAAACTTGTTATTTTTGTGAAGGCTATTTATTATTTTTATATAATCCCCAGTTCATGATCCAGATAACTCTGTCCAAACTGCACCTGACCAAGCTGGTAGTGATCATGCCTTTTTTCCTGGTCATCAACAACTCCAAGCAGAAGCTCAGGTATATGGAAGAAAACGAGCATGCTGACTTGTGGGTTGACATTGAGCCTGGCCAGGTAAGCTTTATTTTTCTGTAACATCTGCAGAGAGGTAGGCTGTTTTGCTTTTTTTTTTTTTTTAAATCAGTCTTAATTAACTGATTAAAAAACAGATTTTTCACTAAACATTTTTTTTAAATCAATCCTAATTACAGATTGAAAGGATTAGCATAAAATGAGATAAATTCATAAAGAGCAATGAAAGAACAGAAATCTCCAGGCAACCACTACTATAAATAGTTACAAGACAGTGAAGATGTGCTATATTGGACACATTCTGAGAAAAGATGATTAGAGAATCACCAAACAGGCACTGAAATGGGAAATCAAGGGATTAAGGAAATGATGACGTCCAACAGAAACCTTAAGGTGAACGTTGATGAGAGAAGCCAAAGATGCTGTGCTGGATTCAATCCATTATATTGAAGTGACTGCACAAGATGAAATGGAATGGAGAAATAGACTTCAAGCCCTATGTGACATGTAATAGCACAACAGGACAGTGAATGAACCAATGAATGATTTACAGATTAGAAGCCTGGCTCAGCGTGTTTATGCCATAGGCCATCTTCATGGTAAAGGTTGGAAAGAAATGGGGGCTTTATTAATATCCTACCCCAGGTGATGTCACAGGACAGTCCAACATTTTAGAGGGTGGTAAGACTGATGCTTTTAACGACACCCAAAACATCTAGAACTAGCCCTGACCCCAACCAACCTACATCCCACGTGAGAGTGCAACCTAGGTCCCACGACTGCATGCAGCCTATCTACCATGACTGCATGCAGCCTATCTACCACCCCCTGAAATATTAGACTGTCCTGTGACCTGTGGATTTCCCCTCTTTGGGGTAGGATATTAATAAAGCACCATTATATGACTTCTCCTTACCTGCCCAGGACTGCTGGTTACACCAGCCTGGTGTGGCTATTGCAGAAGCTTTAATTATAATTTCTTTGGAGGTTGAATAGCCTATCTGGGATCTGCTCTGGGTTTCTTTTTTTTTTCTATCCTAAATAAGACTCTTGAAGTCTCAGGGGTGATCAAAACTTCAGGAAGCAATCTGGAAGGGAAAGCAGGCCAACATATTCTGGAAGCAGTCAGTAGAAGTATCTTGGGAGGGGTGAACCATCTTTGGGATGCCCATAGAGCAGTGACGTTGATTGTGATAACATAATATATCATTAAAAAGCAGTAGGATTTAGATCAGTCTGTCTGTGATTTATTTAGCATTCTGGTAGATTTTGAGTTTTAAAAAAAAACTATTTCTAATATAATTTCTAAAAAAACCTTATTTGTTTCATATTTCTAAGTAATGAATTCTGTGCACAAATGTTTTTTCTCAAAATGACTGGAAAGATTGCAGCATAGTAGAAACAAAGGAAAAAACAATTTGTTATAAAAGTCAATTGCAAGAGAAGAGTGGTGAACTTATTATATTCTTTTTCACTATGCTATCATTTTATTCATTTTATTCACTTATCAAGAAAATAAAAATTACATTAATCATTGTCGTTTTCTTCTGCCTGCTAGTACCAGCCATATTGGCCAGTAACTGAATCGTTCAACATGTATGTAAAGTTTGATGGCAGCAATGTGTCATCTTTACACTTCCCAATCAAATCCTGTCACAACACAGTTCTTCGAATGGAACAAGGGGTAAGACAAAAGTAACAGAATGTTACATTTGTGTGAAGTTTATTTTTCTAGTGACTGTATACTGTCTGAGGAGAAATCAGGTGCCACCTTTCCTCCGCTAGTCTACTGGAGTCCAAGAATCCATTGGGCAACGTGGAGTACCCGTTTAGCGCCCCCTCCCCCCACCCCCAACCCCCACTAGGGTAACATGAAACATATACACACTCGTGCACACACATACTTTTATCACAGACTGAGCACTCATGCACACACTTTTATCACAAACTGTATTAATGCACACACACACACGCTTTTGTCACAAACTGTTAATGCATCCACACACACACACACACACACACACACACACACACACACACACGTGTATCACAAACTGTGCATGCATGCACACACACACACACACTTTTATCACAAATTGTGCATGCATGCACACACACACACTTTTATCACAAATTGTGCATAAATGCACACACACACACTTTTATCACAAATTGTGCATGCATCAACACACACACACACACATACACACTCTTTTATCACAGACTGTACATGTATTTTTATTTTTTTTTTTTATTTTAGGATCCTTTATTACAATGATTTTGAACATAGCATCTGGAATCTGTTCGTAAAATTTGTTATCCAGCATGCAACTCAGGCAATCATTGTGGGTGTCATGCTGATAGTAGGGAGTAGATCCAGAATCATATAATAACAATTGTTACCAAATGTCTCAGTGAAGGATAGTAAATTAGGCAGAATACTGGTAACATGACTCCTTTCATGTTGGGGTGGTGTCTGGGATTTCTCTTCTTCCAGGACCGCTCATTGATAAAGGCTTTGGCCAAAATGTTTGATTGTTTCTATGTGTTCCCACTCCCCTTTCCACTGTCCCCATTTGAGCTTCTTAGTCATAGTTTGTGTTCAGTGAATTCATTATAAATATGGTAATGTCTTTCTACCTTGTGACAAATAATTAAAGGATTTCGCTATTTGCTTCATTTTAATCAATTGTTACTGTAGTATGCACCAGAGATACAGCGAAATATGCCAGGCAATAAATTGTGCAGTCTATTGTTTGTGTCATCTTTGTTCAAAATAATAAACTGAATGTATTGATCATTTATGTTCCCCATTGGAGTTTTCAGGCACCATTTTGTTCCCCATTGGAGTTTTCAGGCACCATTTTGTTCCCCGTTGGAGTTTTCAGGCACCATTTTGAGGGGAAAAGGAAAATACCCACTGCCTCCTCTTCCCCAAACAAAACAAGCATGTCATAAAAGGTGATTAATTGGGGGTGTATTATTCAAAGTCACTGCATCTACCCGAGATGTGGAACCAACAGTCTGCTCACAGGTAAGCCAGATCTGTAATGTGGATGTGCACACAAAACGCAGTTTATAGAATAAGTCGAGAAGTGGATGAACTACCAGAACTTTCCTCCAGAGTTTACATCTGGTGAACGCTAAAATGAAGACGAATATATTCTGTGTGAAAGCAGTTTTCTATGGGTTTGATAAACAAGTTGTGTACGTTGATACTTCCAGAGAGCTGTATGTGTTGAGGTTGCTGGTGGAACAGACACACCCATCACCATCATCTTCACTGATTATGAACATGGTGATGCCCCTGCCAGGGTAGATAATCTCTGTGAGGATGTCTTTATCAAGATTCATCAGAAGTAAGATACTCATTCTAACAAGTAATGATAGTTTTGATGTAGGTTTAGCTCATAATTTTCTGTTGTAATAGTTTTTACACTTTATTTAATGTTTTGTTGTTTGCCATTTCTGCCTGCAAAAATGTGACAAATTATTGTTCACAGTTCACTGTTAATTGTTCATTTAAAGATCATCTCCATCACACATCGGATATGCTCCAAACTCATCCTAAGTATATCTCAAAGTGTTTTTAAGACTAACAACTATCCTTCTGTTTTGGCTGATGTAACAACGGGTGGCTCCCGCATGGTTTTTCTGGCCTCATATAAGTCTATAGCCTTTACGTGCATTCAGTTCATCATGCAGTGGATGTGTAAAGACCTCAGTGATTTTGAGCTAGGCACACGCTTGGTGCATTTCAAGCCTACTGTTTATATCTCATAGATCTAGTTGGTATTTTACCACTTTACATGATGTGTCCTTAGTGCAACGAAGTATGATGTACACTGCTTCATTCACATTTGAATAGATAGTTCATTATGTTTTTATGTAATTATACATAAATGTGTTTATGTAAAGTGAGGTTAATATGTAACTATCTTGACTGCAGGAATCAGAGCCAGGTAACTCTGTTATCGCCCAATCAGAGCATACTGTACACATGGGATGAACCATCAGCAGAAAGGACACTCATGTGGAATGTCTATGGCAGAAAAAGACCAAGCTATCCTGCATACATTACCAAGGTACCCTAAGATGATTTTTCTCCTGTTCTTATGTTTATTTTTCTAATTCATCTTCCTGTATTCTTCATTGTTTACCTCTTCTTTTTCTCCCCCCCCCTTGCTCTCAGTCTGGTTCTTCTGCATAGGTCTTCAGGTGGGACATTAAAGTACTTTACAAACCTCATTGTCAGAAAAATATCTTAAGAGGTTGTTTCTCCTGTAACAGTCTGTTTTCACATCTATGACAGTTGTTCTAACTGTAGCAGACATAGGGCTACAAGGTACATAGACTTTTCTTTACATTCAATAACACATGCGCGTGGGTACCGGGTGCAGTCCTGGGAAGTAAAGGCGGCCGGCGTGATGGTGACCACATCACCCATCTTGTGCCGATTAGTCTATAAAAATATAGGTCTAGCCCTATATGCCCTATATGCCTAAAGGCGTGGAAAAGGGTCCTTTTATTTTTTTTTTTTTTACTTAACATGTACAGTAACCAATAACACGATAAATAACCAACATTTACTCTGAGAATTTGATGAACACTTTATATCCCAATTATAACCCTGAGATATGTATATAGTATATTTTGTTTTAAATAGAATAGAATAAATAGAATTAGGAATTAACTAATATTACTGAATCCGTAATTAAGGGCTTGGGGAGATAATCAAACCTATTTCAATGAAGAGTTGAGTTTAAACAAATAAAATAAAAAATAGATTTTGGCACTTGATAGGATATATTTTGAGAAAACTAAATATGGATAGGATATATATTAAGAAAACTTAATATGAATAAGATATATTTTGAGGAAACTTAATGTGGATAGGATATATATTGAGAAAACTTCATGTGAATAAGATATAGTTTAAGAAAACTTAATGTGGATAGGATATACATTGAGAAAACTTCATGTAGATAGGATATTTATGAGAAAACTTCATGTGGTTAGGAAATATATTGAGAATACGTAATGTTGATAGGATATATATATATTGAGAAAACTCAATTTAGATAGGATATATATTCAGAAAATTTAATGGTGAAAGGATATATTTTGAGAAAAGTTAATATCACAATGTCCTTGTGCTGGAATTGATAGGGCATAAAAGATAGAAAAAACATAAATTCACACAGAGAAGATTGACACTGAGTTGAATCATTTGAGGAGGATGTTGAATGCCCTGTGGGTGATACAGAAGATATGACAGCTTTATGTAAGTTTGGTTATTGGCCTATCATCCCACTTGGGATAAAAGGCAGACAAGAAAGAAATAGGAAGTAGTGGTAATTTAAAACAAAGCAGTTATATAGGTTTCTCTTCTTTTATCTCAAATACCTTGCATTCAGCTTTTAACTTGATATAAAGATGTGTACAAATGAGACATGAATGATACAGAGATCAGGAACGGTTAATAGAAATAAATTGGGGGAAATCTAGGTGGTGATGAAGGTTGGACAATGGAATTTTGAATCACCAAATACACGTCTAAATTTTAATGATGAAAGATAAACCTATTTTCTACAATGTCTCTAAGTTTCATCCTATTCTAACCACTTGTTTGCATGTAACATAATATTTTTGTATATCATGTTGGTTTGTTCGCATAATGCCCAGGAGCCCAGGTATAGGGAACAGTTAGGTCAGGGTCTCATGTCTGGTAGAGTTTACATCACTGTGGCCTGCAATTCACAATTTTTCCCTAAAGCACAATGCAACACTGTTTGAAAGACAGAAAGGTGCCAGAAACAGTATTTTACATTGAATTGTATGAAGTATAGTTAACTTACAGACATGTATTTCTTTGTTTCAGGATGGATCTGGTGAAATGAGGCTAAGTGTTCCTTCACTAAAAAGTGCAAGTAACTCTGGTGTGGACTTCACAGATGCAGGAGATACTGATGATAGCAGCAGTCCTGAAGGTGAGTCTGCAGAAGAATAAATTCAGTGGTATTGATGGGTGCTCTTGGGAAGTGAGGTAGTGTAGTGGCTAAATGCTCACCTGCTGGTATGAAGGTCCTGTATTCCATCACCCCCGTCCCCCCAACCTCCTCCCCAATCCATATGGACTACTAGGTATTCTTAAACTCTTTTGGTCTCAAAGAAATGCATAATACATTCATAGGTTTCTTTCTGGAAGGTCAGTGAACGCATAATGTGATAATTAAATGTGTCTCTCTTGTTAATTTACCACAGGCAGTTTAAAAACATGAATCCACAACTTTTAATGATTCTTTTGTTCCATTGTGACCAATAAACACTTCTGGGCATTAGATTTTTTCAGTTAAAAAATTGTTAAAAGCATAAAATGTAGTCAGTGAACTTTACTGAGTTACTGTCTGTTTGAAAACAGTATAGCCATGAAACCTACTTCTTCATGTATTCTAACCCAATTAATGGCTTTAAAAACTTCACATTTAAATTAAGCAGGGCATTGATCAGATCTGTCTGAAGCTTTGTGAAGAAAGTGTGAAGTAGACTTATTTCAGATATGTATGTTCAAATTTTGATGAGGGATAGCTCTAAAATGTACCTCATGCCAGTCATACCATGATAGCAGTCATCTGGCACAAGTTTAAATGTTGGGGAGAAAGATAATTTTATTCATTTTCAAATAGTTCTAGTGAAATTCTCCTTATTATTTAGAAACATGGCTTCAGAACTGAAAGCAATTGGAGTGTTATATAAACTTTGCTTCGTATGATGATATTAATTGTTTTGGGAAGTCGTTTTTCTTTACCAAAAAATGGTGCTCTCTCTTGTTGTTCCAAAAGTTGATCTAGAACAAGATCTTATGTACAGATTGCATTTATGTATTTTTTTTTTTTATACATTACTTATTAGTTCTTGTTCATTAATGATTCATTGTGGATATACTTTATTTAGTTCTCCTTGAGCATCCTTAAGCACCATGACAGTAAGTGGACAAATGATTATTTCATTTTACAAATTTCTCCAAACAGGTTGACTGTTTATTTACTAATATTTAATGCTAATGCAGTTATTTTTATAGCATTATTCTAATATTATTTCTCAAAATCCCATGGTCTCTTTGATTGATAAAATGTGTATTTTGTACAGCAGCTGAATTAGAATGATCTGTTTTAATGTGTTACACTTGTGACATTTTTAAATTGCATTACCACCCCTCGGCCCTCTGGTGCTAAACCCCCTGGTACCAAAAGAGTTTAAATAAAAGGATATTTATAACTTTTTCAAGGCTAAACAATGTATTAAGTTTTGGTAATTCCAAAGACAATAGGAAGTTCATTTTTTTCTATATCACAGATTATTTGTTTTATTTTTGGAACTGAAATATTAGGTAATTTACCTTTATTTAATTTGTGGCTGTATTTCTCCTTCAGGTCTAAGTATGTGTTGTTTTTTAAGATCAATTTATTGGGATAGAATGAGTTTAAGTAACAACCTAATAAAACTGAAAAAGTTAACCAGGTCTATCAACAACCAACACCCACAGCAGATCATATGTTACCAGGGTCTATAAGGGAAGCAATAAGTATTAAAAATGTAAATTTCATTTAGTTCAGAAGGGGCAGCTATAGAGGCAGTTGGAAGATTGGCTACCTTGTCCTGAAAAAGTTGGTGTCAGTGGCTCAATGTAATGCAATTATTTAATTTCATAAATGTAACACATTAAAACATTAATACTAATTAAACTGCCAAGCAACATACACATATTATTCATCAAAGTGACCAAGGACTGTTGGGTAATAATAATAAAATACTGCTACAACAAATAATTGCATTAGTATTAAATATTAGTAAATAAACAGATGGTATTTTTACAGAAATTAATAACATGAAATTTAAACATTTCCACTTACCACCATGCTACTCAAGGAAACCTTTCTAAAATATATCCAAACTGAATCACAAATGAAGATAAACCACTTGATAATGTTTAAGTAAAATATAAAATCAATCTGTGCATTAGATAATGTTGAGAATCTTTTGAAGCATCATAACAGAGCACCATTATATGATAAAGAAAACTGACTTTATAAAACAGTTAGTATCTTCACACAAAATTAGGTTTATATTACTCTCAACTGCCTGTAATTTTGTAGCTATGTTCCTAAATAATAAGGAAACTGGAACTAACTGAGACAGAAGAAAATCGCCCTTTCACTAGTATTTATTCTATTTATGTCAGCTGACTTTCTATCATTGTATCCTTCATGTGAGGTGCACATTAGACCTATCCCTTATCAAAGCATATAAAGGACTGAAACAAGTTTAACTCTCAACTTTATCTAACTAACTTTAAATAAATCACTGAAACAAGTTTAACTCTCAACTTTATCTAACTAACTTTAAATAAATCAAAATTAACACATGCTTTTTTTTAAATTTGAGGCTGCTAAAGCCAAAAATCATGTTGGCATGCATGTAGAACACTGCTTGGTGGCCATATTGCTTTCAAACAAACACTTAGTAACTTGGTAAACCTCGCAAAAATACTATATTTTAGGCCCTTAAACCAAATTCTTTTTTTTTAAATTAGCACTCCTGATATCACACACAAAGAACTCAAAAGAAAGTTGAAATTCGAGCTGTCCGAGTTTTATTATAGGTCAGCGGTAAATTAAAAACCATCACCTGTCACGCATTGTTTGGGCCGCTGAGTTGTAACCAGTTAGCGCGTAATGTGTTTCCTGTGACTCAGTGAGTTAATACTGCTGAAATATTGCTGAAATGTTTTACTTGCCAAGAAATGATACTTTGTCCTTTTATTGACTGCATTTGAACAATTTTACTGCAGTTAATCTTACTTTATTCTTATAATTTGTGTACAACAGATGAAAGTGATGAGACTGATGGACTTGTTATCCCAACTGATCGCTCCCTTCTTGGTCACACACGAGTGGACAAGATGGTGGTATTCTGGGTCTCCTATCTTGATGGACTACAGAGAGTATTGCTGTTTACTCAAGATGAGCGAGTTGCCAAGGCTGTTCGCAAGGTTGGTTTAGTCTTTGTATGATTTGTTGCCAGATGTTTCTTAGTCTATACTACATTTGTCAGTTGTTTGTGTTGTAGTTAACGCTGACTTGGTTTAGCATTGTACATGTATTTAGAAAGGACATGAAATATTATGCTGTCACATTATATATTTAGTATATTTTATATTTGCTCTGGCTGAAATAATTTACATTAGAGTAACGATACAAAGTCATATGTAATACTGTGTAAAAAGACTATCAGAATCACATATAATAGTGTAACAGTACTGTCAAAGTTAGATGTAACAGTGTAACAGTACTATCAAAATCATATGCAGTGTGCTATAACACTATCAGAGTTGTATGCATTATGGTGTTGTGGTACTATCAAAGACATACATATAGGTATATATAGGACATGCAGTATAGAAGTTACTACATAAGCGATATATAGGAATGTGAAACTATGCAACTACTGTCATCAGATGTAACTAATAGAAAAAACTAATAGAATAAACTGTATGTGTATGCCTCATATAGCAATGTAAAACTATCCAACTTCTGTCATGAGGTGTAACTAATAGAATAAACCGTATGTGTATGCCTCATATAGCAATGTAAAACTATCCAACTACTGTCATGAGGTGTAACTAATAGAATAAACTGTATGTGTATGGCCCATAAAGTGGCCAATCCCGTTTTAAAAAGTGTACATATCATACACAATTTCCTGTTGTGTATATTGTAGAAGAGGTGTCACTTGTGTATTGCATGCTGGTCTGTGTATGAGGCATGTGCCCACAGGTCTGTCTTCTACTCATGGTATCCATGGTAGGTTTCTAGAGGTGGTAGCAGTGTGGCATGAGAATTTATTGTCATAGGCAAACAAATTCCCTTACACATTTTTGTTTTATAAGCTTTAGTTGAGAGTCAACATTCCATAGAAATAGCAATTTTGTTTGGATAAATAGAGAAGCTAGCATACTACTAATTGTTAATTATGTGTAATAGTAGTAGTAGTAAATTTTACCCAACCAGAACATCACACAAGGGACAAACATCCGATGACCAAAGTGCCACCATGTGGATGAGGATCACCCGTGGAAAGGGCCCGGAAACCGCATTCAGCTATTAGGCCATATTTATGGCCGGGCTATATTGCAGCCCATAGCAAGAGCCAGGGTGGGGCTTCAAAATAAAGAAATATTGCATCCCACAAGGGGATGACTGAATTGTATTAATATGTGTAATGTAACTTATTAGTCGGAAATTGGCAAAATATATTAATATGTTTAGAAGTTAAGATTTGTAAATGTACTCATTTGAATAATATAGGAGCTCAGTGAAAGTATTTTTTTTTTAAAAAGATGTTTCAGATCTATACGTTTAGTTTCCTTAATCGGGACTTTCATAAATGTACTCTTAGGTTTATTTAGAAGGAATGCAAATTAAATAATTGGTTATAGTAACGTTTTCAGGCCTCGTTGTGTTGCAGAGCCTGTCCAGTGTCCAGAGCATTTAGCAACACGTAGTATTTTACTCATTGTTGTCAGCGGCTTGCGAAATTGTATGTTGTATATTCCACAGTGTGAGCACTTTTAACATCCCAAATCATCTAGAAGTGGCCCAACACCCCCCCCCCCCCCTCTCATCCACAGCGTCAGCCTAAATCCTCCGACTGCATGCAGCCTAGGTCGCACGACTGTATGCAGGGTATATTATGTGGGATGTAGTGTCTGCACTCTCTCGTGGGACATAGGTTACACTTTCTCGTGGGACTAGGCTGAGACTGTGGGGTAGGGGTAGGGGTTAGGGTCAGTTTTAGATGTTTTAGGACCTTTAAAAGTGCTCACATCGTGGAATATAGAACACACAATATCACCGGCCGCTGACAATGAGTAAAATACTATGTGTTGCTGGCCGGTCACTAAGCGTGACACCTCCACAACATAGGACAGGCCCTGCAACACCACGAGGCATGAATGGCAAAGGAAGTTACTCTCTTTCTGGGCCAGACAATGTTACAAGCACCAATTAATTAATAGTTTAGGAGTCATGGTAGCACAGGTGCAGGAGGCTTGCCTGAAAGTCTGGGGGTTTGAGTTTGTATGGAGACAGATTTTTTTTATAAAATTACATAATGTATGGATTTCTGTCTCCATTTTCATGTTTATCTTATGTCGGTCTAGTCATTCACTTATCTTGTCTTTCTAATCTCTATTTTCATTACACTTTAGTTTGCTGTAAGTATGTTTGTTTTGTGTGTGTGTGTGTGTGTGTGTGTGTGTGGCTTTCTTATGTATGAATCACTTGTATAATACATTTTAATAAATTGTTGTTCATTATATAAACTTTCATTTAAATGTACCAGATATGTTGGAAACCCCATACTTTTCATGATACTCCACTATTTGGACTCAGTCGAAGACATTGTATACGCAATATTTTCAAACATTATTCTTATGTTAAAGGTGTGATCCCTAGTTCCCCTAGCTTAAATTCAATACTAGTCCTTAAAATTTTAATGAACCAGATATGATAGAATATAATAGTGTGCATTTTTGTGTCATAAATTCACATTTATTTCTTTTTCTCTGTCTTTCTGTCACTTTCTTTTTCTCTATTTCTCTTTCTCTCCTTATGTGTGTGTGTGTGCACACCCATGTATTTAATTGTGTTTGTATGTAACAGTACTTTTCATGTGTGTTTGTGATAATGCGCATGCACTTTCTTGTAAGTTTGCGTGGGTGGGTAGTGGCAGAATGTGGTCAGATAAGGCAATATTATAACATTTTAAAAAATCCTATATAAGACATGTTAAGACTTATATCCACACTGATCCGAGCAGATAATTGTACTCTTCATGAATTATTTGTAAGCTATGAAATTGTATGTTTCTGTATGTTTTCTCAAGATAATGAATCATCAGAGTTATATTAATAACCTGTAAAGGCACAAATGCTTTAGAATTATAATAATGGTCCTGTCATATTAAATTTACACCATTAGTGTTGATACCAGAATGACTACCCATAATAGTATTTAATTTACGGATTCATTGATGCAGGCAACAACTCTCATCCAATTTAACCATTACAGTAACTCAGAAGTAAGAGGAGCAGGGTGTCGATCTCCTAAGAAATTATTTTTTTTTTTTAAATGTGTAAATTCCAGTGATTCATGGTAATAATTTTATCACCATTATTTTCTGGAAAAAAATGAAAACACTGGTAAAATGAAAACACTGGTAAATTTATCTTGAAACATCATAAATCAGTATGTTGGTCTGTTTTTATAGGGTCATGTTCAAAGTGTAGATTTGCCAAGAAGACGAAATATGCTGCAGGTAACACATCCAGATTTAGCCAGGCTGACTTTTACAGTCTTGCTAACTCAGAACAGTTTCTCAACAGTTTCCTGGAATAAAGAAATTGGTTCATTTAGGCCATTAACTCTCACAATTCCAGGCAGATATAATTTAGCCCATTCTCTCGCAGAAAGTGTTCACTCTAACCCTATCAGTCCCTGTAGTATAATTTAACTCTTTGATCCCTAGGTATGTATTATGTGCAGGAATATATGTTTATAACAGATGATTGTTAAGTGATTGGTTTGAAGTTAATAACTGGCGTGAAACAGGGATGCATTTGATCTCATCTGTTATTTGGCATAACCATTGACTGAGTGTGTTGGAAACACTGGCTATGACTTGGTGAGAACACACAGTTGGAAGATCTTGATTTTGCTGACAGAATTGTTTTGCTAAGTAAAAACAGCAACGACATGCAAGGGAAAACAGAGGATTTAGCAAATATAGCATCAAGGGTTGGTCTACAGATAAGTTATGAAAAGACATTAATATTGAAGGCACCAACAACAGATCAAGCAGATGTAAAACACTAGAGACAAAAGTAGGTAGAGTAACATATAAATTTACTTATTTGTGTAATATTTTTTATAGTGAAGGAAATACAAAGAAAGAAATTATGGCACACATTGGCAAGGCATCAGTAGCTTTTAATATCATTATCATGTAGCAAGTCCTTTGCAGAATGTCGCTCTCATCAAATTCTGCCTGAAAGAAACACCAGCTCCCCTGCCTCATGTATTTTCATATTCAAGGAGTCACTTATATCCTGTACCCATCTTCATGTTGGTCGGCCCTTATCCTCCTTCCATGTACCATGCCTTCTGCTATTTTATCTTTCCAATCTTGATATGACCAAAATGTTTCAGCTTCTGAGACAAGATGCTGTTTATCAGCCAGTCAATCTTGATGTTGAGACCTTTTTAAAATGTCAGTATTTCATCCCTTCTTTGTCCATGAGTATTACGAGAATCTTTCTATAGTATTTCAGCTCAAAAGCCCTGATTTTCTTTCTTAAGGACTGGGATATAGTAAATGACTCACATCCATATGTTGCTACAGGGAAGATGCATGCTCTGAAAATTGTAACTTTGATTTCCTTGCTGGCTCTTAACCATAGACTTTAAATGCTATTTAATCTTTGTATTGCTACGGCCATCTTTCTTTTGACTTCTGTGGGACAGTCTCCATTGCTGTTTATGGTCGAGCCTAGATATTAAAAGTTTGAAATTTTCAAATAATCAGATTTTAATAACTTGAACAAAATATAGAACTTTAAACCAGGGTTACATATATTTAAATCTAATGTTTAACATATGGAAGCGAAAGTTGGAAAACCACCGAAGACGTGGAAAATAGTTGAGTGCATTTGAAAACAAATGTCTAAGAAAAATGATGAACATAAAATGGGATGAATTCAAAAGAAGTGAAGAAATAAGATAAATGTCTGGGCAACCACTAGTATCAACAGTTTTGAGACAGAAAAGATGGCGCTACATTGGACACACTCTGAGAAGAAACCAGCAGAGAATCAACAAACATGCATTAAAATGAGAAATAAAGGGATGAAGATGAGGACTTCCAAAAGAAACCCTAAGATGAATGTTGATACAGAGGTCAAAGCTGCTGGACTGGATTCCATCCATGATATTG